ATCATTCCAGTAGATGGCGCTGTTGCACTGTGGTAGTGGGGGAAGCAACAAGTACTGGCCAAGCGCTAGCACCATTCCTCAGAATAATAGCGCCAGAACTGTGAAGATTATACGTTTTGTGTATGTTTCTCTTTACCACTACAGATATGTAACAGCACGTTTAAACTTTCTAATATCGAAAGAACGTCATAACATGCTAGGTAACAAACTAGTCAAGGGATTATCACCTTTGGGAAAAGTTTGAGGTGTTACTTTTGTGTAAAACTGTGTGAGTGAAGTACATGATTGAGAATGAATAAGTGTACGTTAGCTTTATGCTAGCTGTGGTAATATATATATATATATATATATATATATATATATATATATATTTCACAAGTCACATAGAGACTTTGGGTTTTTCTGAGTAAATGTGCATGATTTCCTGGAAGTCATTTCATAAAGAATCAATTTATTTGAAGTGTCTTGAGTTCGTTTTACATGTTATTGGTTTTGCGTAAAATTGTAACATTACTCACAAGCTGGTAAAATGGCGGCGAGCGCGCTGCCTGTGTCAACTGACTTTAGTGCAGGCAATGCCGGTGCAAGAGAGAGAGACAATTTCATGGTTCACTTGTATCCGTTTTCTACACGTGTAGCAATATTCAGACATGTCAGTTGTTTATCGTGAATGAGGAAATATACTACAGGTAAAGTGCACTTATGTTGTGTAAATTAATCTGTGCACTTTGTTGTCATTAGTTATCAATCCATTGAAATGAATTAATAACTAAATATTTGAAATGAGATAATTCAATAAGAAAAGGTATATAGAGAATAAAGAAAGTGGCAGAACTGTCAGGATGACAACTTTTGTGTCCGTTTCTCGTTATCACTACAGGCCACTTTTAGACTCAGTCTGAGGCTGGTAACATAATGCACATATGAAAATCATAACTGGTATGCAAAGCGTTTGTTGGATACATTGTAAATTGGCACTCTGACATTACCCCATTGAAGTTGACATTTAAAATGGTTAAGGTAAGGGTTAAGGGTAGGGGTTAGGGTTTAGGGTATTGATGTCCCAAGGATCCGGATAGCACTAATCATGGTGTAAGTCACTAGAGTAATGTCCTATATAGTGCACCTTAACACACTAGAGTCTAATGTGTTAAGGTGCACTATGCAGGACATTACTCTAGTGTGTTAAGGTGCACTATACAGGACATTACTCTAGTGTGTCAAGGTGCACTATGCAGGACATTACTCTAGTGTGTCAAGGTGCACTATGCAGGACATTACTCTAGTGTGTTAAGGTGCACTATGCAGGACATTACTCTAGTGTGTTAAGGTGCACTATGCAGGACATTACTCTAGTGTGTTAAGGTGCACTATGCAGGACATTACTCTAGTGTGTTAAGGTGCACTATGCAAGACATTACTCTAGTGTGTTAAGGTGCACTATGCAGGACATTACTCTAGTGTGTTAAGGTGCACTATGCAGGACATTACTCTAGTGTGTTAAGGTGCACTATGCAGGACATTACTCTAGTGTGTTAAGGTGCACTATACAGGACATTACTCTAGTGTGTTAAGGTGCACTATACAGGACATTACTCTAGTGTGTTAAGGTGCACTATGCAGGACATTACTCTAGTGTGTCAAGGTGCAATATGCAGGACATTACTCTAGTGTGTTAAGGTGCACTATGCAGGACATTACTCTAGTGTGTTAAGGTGCACTATACAGGACATTACTCTAGTGTGTTAAGGTGCACTATGCAGGACATTACTCTAGTGTGTTAAGGTGCACTATGCAGGACATTACTCTAGTGTGTTAAGGTGCACTATGCAGGACATTACTCTAGTGTGTTAAGGTGCACTATGCAGGACATTATTCTAGTGTGTTAAGGTGCACTATGCAGGACATTACTCTAGTGTGTTAAGGTGCACTATGCAGGACATTACTCTAGTGTGTTAAGGTGCACTATACAGGACATTACTCTAGTGTGTTAAGGTGCACTATGCAGGACATTACTCTAGTGTGTTAAGGTGCACTATGCAGGACATTACTCTAGTGTGTTAAGGTGCACTATGCAGGACATTACTCTAGTGTGTTAAGGTGCACTATGCAGGACATTACTCTAGTGTGTTAAGGTGCACTATGCAGGACATTACTCTAGTGTGTTAAGGTGCACTATACAGGACATTACTCTAGTGTGTTAAGGTGCACTATGCAGGACATTACTCTATTGTGTTAAGGTGCACTATGCAGGACATTACTCTAGTGTGTTAAGGTGCACTATGCAGGACATTACTCTATTGTGTTAAGGTGCACTATGCAGGACATTACTCTATTGTGTTAAGGTGCACTATGCAGGACATTACTCTAGTGTGTTAAGGTGCACTATGCAGGACATTACTCTAGTGTGTTAAGGTGCACTATGCAGGACATTACTCTATTGTGTTAAGGTGCACTATGCAGGACATTACTCTAGTGTGTTAAGGTGCACTATGCAGGACATTACTCTAGTGTGTTAAGGTGCACTATGCAGGACATTACTCTAGTGTGTTAAGGTGCACTATACAGGACATTACTCTAGTGTGTTAAGGTGCACTATGCAGGACATTACTCTAGTGTGTTAAGGTGCACTATGCAGGACATTACTCTAGTGTGTTAAGGTGCACTATGCAGGACATTACTCTAGTGTGTTAAGGTGCACTATGCAGGACATTACTCTAGTGTGTTAAGGTGCACTATGCAGGACATTACTCTAGTGTGTTAAGGTGCACTATACAGGACATTACTCTAGTGTGTTAAGGTGCACTATGCAGGACATTACTCTATTGTGTTAAGGTGCACTATGCAGGACATTACTCTAGTGTGTTAAGGTGCACTATGCAGGACATTACTCTATTGTGTTAAGGTGCACTATGCAGGACATTACTCTATTGTGTTAAGGTGCACTATGCAGGACATTACTCTAGTGTGTTAAGGTGCACTATGCAGGACATTACTCTATTGTGTTAAGGTGCACTATGCAGGACATTACTCTAGTGTGTTAAGGTGCACTATGCAGGACATTACTCTAGTGTGTCAAGGTGCACTATGCAGGACATTACTCTAGTGTGTTAAGGAGCACTATGCAGGACATTACTCTAGTGTGTTAAGGTGCACTATGCAGGACATTACTCTATTGTGTTAAGGTGCACTATGCAGGACATTACTCTAGTGTGTTAAGGTGCACTATGCAGGACATTACTCTAGTGTGTTAAGGTGCACTATGCAGGACATTACTCTAGTGTGTTAAGGTGCACTATGCAGGACATTACTCTATGTGTTAAGGTGCACTATGCAGGACATTACTCTATTGTGTTAAGGTGCACTATACAGGACATTACTCTAGTGTGTTAAGGTGCACTATGCAGGACATTACTCTAGTGTGTTAAGGTGCACTATGCAGGACATTACTCTAGTGTGTTAAGGTGCACTATGCAGGACATTACTCTAGTGTGTTAAGGTGCACTATGCAGGACATTACTCTAGTGTGTTAAGGTGCACTATGCAGACATTACTCTAGTGTGTTAAGGTGCACTATACAGGACATTACTCTAGTGTGTTTAAGGTGCACTATGCAGGACATTACTCTATTGTGTTAAGGTGCACTATGCAGGACATTACTCTAGTGTGTTAAGGTGCACTATGCAGGACATTACTCTATTGTGTTAAGGTGCACTATGCAGACATTACTCTATTGTGTTAAGGTGCACTATGCAGACATTAACTCTAGTGTGTTAAGGTGCACTATGCAGGACATTACTCTATTGTGTTAAGGTGCACTATGCAGGACATACCTATTGTGTTAAGGTGCACTATGCAGGACATTACTCTAGTGTGTTAAGGTGCACTATGCAGACATTACTCTAGTGTGTCAAGGTGCACTATGCAGGACATTACTCTAGTGTGTTAAGGTGCACTATGCAGGACATTACTCTAGTGTGTTAAGGTGCACTATGCAGGACATTACTCTATTGTGTTAAGGTGCACTATGCAGGACATTACTCTAGTGTGGTTAAGGTGCACTATGCAGGACATTACTCTATTGTGTTAAGGTGCACTATGCAGGACATTACTCTAGTGTGTTAAGGTGCACTATGCAGGACATTACTCTAGTGTGTTAAGGTGCACTATACAGGACATTACTCTAGTGTGTTAAGGTGCACTATGCAGGACATTACTCTAGTGTGTTAAGGTGCACTATGCAGGACATTACTCTAGTGTGTTAAGGTGCACTATGCAGGACATTACTCTATTGTGTTAAGGTGCACTATACAGGACATTACTCTAGTGTGTTAAGGTGCACTATGCAGGACATTACTCTATTGTGTTAAGGTGCACTATACAGGACATTACTCTAGTGTGTTAAGGTGCACTATACAGGACATTACTCTAGTACTGCAAAGCCCCTGGGTCTGCCAGCAGGAGGTCTATGCCCTCCTTCATCAACCAACCACATGACAGCTGGCTCAGGTGCCAGATTAGTCCCTTATAGTGCACTCAACTCAGCGTGTGTGTGTGCGCGCGTGCGTGTTTTGTTCAGATCAGCTGACCTGAATAGTGTGGCCACACAGAGATTAATGATGTAGCTCAAACAGATATAGGGTATTTAGGGGGTCATTAACGGTCCAAATTGTCCCCTCATACCTCACAGTGAGAGAGATGAAAGTGCTTGTCGATTATATGGGATGAGGAATTGGGATGAATATTTTCAAAACGTCAGACGTTCATCAAACAAGACAGACCAACATGCAACCCGGATACATAAAACTCTATACTACATCAATTGCAGGTGCTTACAGTATTTCAATAAGCCTACATTGTAGGTTAAATTCATGCCTTTATATGTTTATCTGGATCCAGGTTTATTCTATTAGATAGAGAAACCCTGCACGGATTAAGGTTAAGGTATTAGCTACCCTTAAATCCACTTTCACCGTCCGCCTGTTTATTCTGTCTGTAGTCTATCTGCCCATCCAGTAGCTGTCACACGGTTCACTGTCACTGGATTTCAGCCAGATGCTCCAATTGGAGCCGTCCCAATAGCCGGTGGACAGAGGCGATTGGTTCATGACCTGACAGTCACAGCAGGAGGGCGGGTTCTGTCGCTTGTCAACTGAAAATGTAAATCTCAGTGCATTGCCGTTATGTCAGCGCTCTCTTGGAGTGTAGGGTCTGAGGATGCAAAAGAAAAGTGTACTCTTTATCGATAGTTTCTATGTTAGTGTTTTTTTTTTATTAACTTGGAGACTTTTTAAACGGTACGTTTTCGTCATAGCTTTTGACACTTTTGACATCTTGGGGTAGCCTTAGCCCATGTGTTCACTTTGATGAAGATCTCTCACACATTTTTTTCCCTGTGAGTAACGTGTGCGTAATTATGACTTGGTGGTCTGTATTCGGGACTATTAGCCCAAAACTAATATCGGATTGATCAGAACATGATAAAAGTTTAATACCATTGAAACAGAGCATTGTAATAACAATACAATAACTAATTACCAGACATTGTAAGATGTGATTTTTGTGTGCAACCTTTGGAAATTCACTTTATTCTCTATTGTCCGGCACAGTGGACGCGTCTTAATACCCATAATACCTAGCGGTAAACTCCGCAATGGTTCCAATCATTTTTTCCCCATACATTTTTTCGTCTGGGATTCTATAACTACTTAATTTAAGGTCTGTGTTTCGTGTAGGCTTACCCTGGCGTGACGTTTTGATAGCTATGTAATTCTCTCTTGGACAAGGTGAGTTTTGTCAATATATATTCGCCTCAATTTACTCAAAAAATCCTAAATACTAATTAGCAACAGAGAAGACCTCAGCAAGACCTCAGGGTTGTGGCTTCGTTTCCCGCGGGGGGCCAGTATGAAAATGTATGCACTCACTAACTGTAAGTCGCTCTGGATAAGAGCGTCTGCTAAATGACTCAAAAAAAAAGAAAAAAAAAAAGACTACAAATTCCTACAGGAAGCTCCTGCACCTTATCTCTAGCCGACACTCTAGCCTTGGTCCTCTGTAGCTCAGCTGGTAGAGCACGGCGCTTGTAACGCCAGGGTAGTGGGTTCGATCCCCGGGACCACCCATACACAAAAATATATGCACGCATGACTGTAAGTCGCTTTGGATAAAAGCGTCTGCTAAGTGGCATATTATTATTATTATTACTAAGCTACCATTCACCAGCGCGCGATCAGAGATCTTTGTGCCCAATCCATGAATTTAAGTCCCCTTTCTCTGTCTTAGCTAGCCACTGACTACACTTTAGCGAGCTAGTTAGCAGAGCAGTACAGTGCATTCGGAAAGTATTTACACCCCTTCCCTTTTCCCACATTTTGTTACGTTAAAATGGATTAAATAAAAGAATTCCTCATTAATTGACACACAATACCCAATAATAACAAATAGAAAACAGGTTTTTAGAATTTTTTGCAAATTTATTAAAAATAAAAAAACAGAAATACCTTATTTACATAAGTATTCAGACCCTTTGCTATGAGACTCGAAATTGAGCTCAGGTGCATCCTTTTTCCATTGATCATCCTTGAGATGTTTCTACAACTTGACTGGAGTCCACCTGTGGTAAATTAAATTGATTGGACATGATTTGGAAAGGCACACACCTGTCTATATAAGGCCCCACAGTGCATGTCAGAGCAAAAACCAAGCCATGAGGTCGAAGGAATTGTCTGTAGAGCTCCGAGACAGATTGTGTCGAGGCACAGATCTGGGGAAGGGTACCAAAAAATGTCTGCAGCATTGAAGGTCCCCAAGAACACGGTGGCCTCCATTATTCTTAAATGGAAGAAGTTTGGAACCACCAAGACTCTTCCTAGAGCTGGCCGCCTGGCCAAAATGAGCAATCGGGGGAGAAGGGCCTTGGTCAGGGAGGTTACCAAGAACCCAATGGTCACTCAGACAGAGCTCCAGAGTTCCTCTGTGGAGATGGGAGAACCTTCCAGAAGGACAATCATCTCTGCAGCACTCCACCAATACTGCCACTCCTCAGTAAAAGGCACATGACAGCCCACTTGGAGTTTGCCAAAAGGCACCTAAATGACTCTCAGACCATGAGAAACAAGATTCTCTTGTCTGATGAAACCAAGATTGAACTCTTTGGCCTGAATGCCAAGCGTCATGGCTGGAGGAAACCTGGCACCATCCCTACTGTGAAGCATGGTGGTGGCAGCATCATGCTGTGGGGATGTTTTTCAGCGGCAGGGACTGGGAGACTAGTCAGGATCGAGGGAAAGATGAACGGAGAAAAGTACAGAGAGATCCTTGATGAAAACCTGCTCCAGAGTGCTCAGGACCTCAGACTGGGGCGACGGTACACCTTCTAACAGGACAACAACTCTAAGCACACAGCCAAGACAACGCAGTAGTGGCTTCGGGACAAGTCTCTGAATGTCTTTGAGTGGCCCAGCCAGAGCCCGGACTTGAACCCCATCGAACATCTCTGGAGAGACCTGTAAATAGCTGTGCAGCGACGCTCCCCATCCAACCTGACAGAGCTTGAGAGGATCAGCAGAGAAGAATGGGAGAAACTCCCCAAATACGGGTGTGTCAAGCTTGTAGCGTCATACCCAAGAAGACTCGAGGCTGTAATCGCTGCCAAAGGTGCTTCAACAACGTATTTTTTTAACCTGTTTTTGCTTTGTCATTATGGGGTATTGTGTGTAAATTGATGAGGACAAAAAACGATTTAATCAATTTTAGAATAAGGCTCTAACGTAACAAAATGTCAAGGGGTATGAATACTTTCCGAATGCACAGTATAATAAAAAAGTATTGTGTTTTACTTAGCCTAGGTAATAGTTTGTACAGTATATCGACTTTGCTGTCTATTTCAGACCTTTATCCTCTTCAAGGATGAGCATCGGAGCATTAAAAGGGGAGAAGACCTCTATAAGTCTGGCCATGTGGAGACGTGCAGCTGTAGTGAGGGACATTTTACCGGTTTGGTCAGGGTCAGCATGAGGGATAAAGTTTATCCTGTGTCAGTGAGTGTAGCTATTAAGTTAAGTTTGAGCATTTTAGCAATATAATGTGTTCTGTACAGCTGTCAACATTCTACAAGGAAAGAGCCACTTAATCAATTATATAATCATTAACCAGATTACCCAAGATGCCAGACTTCGATGAGTGATACCTCAGTTCTAGAATGTTGTCATTGATGAGAATGAATCTAAAAATCTATTGACGTTCAGAATAAGACTTAGTTTAGACATCCAGCCTGTATTGGAGTTTCATGACCAGAGACAAATCTTCAAAGGCACATTATACATTTAATTCAGAGTGGTACATGCATTCACACAGTCTTGATTTATAATATCCTTTCCACTATATAATTGATATGTCAAGTGATGAAATCCCAAGTGATCAATTCAAAGTTTAAGGAAAAACTGCACTTAAATATTCTACAGCTGCAATGTCATCAATCAAATCAAACTATTTATATAGCACATTTCTTGCAATGAATGCATTTCAAGGTGTTCAGTCGTTGGATGGGTTTGTTGTCTGTAAAGTGGGGCACAGGTAAAGAGGAGGGCATCAAGACATTCAAAATGTCTACAGGGATGGATGTGCAGGAGTCAGGGCTTTGGGTCACGGGGTCTGGGATCCTGGGTGCCTCACTGGTGTCCATATGGTGCAAGGGACCTTACCATTGAAGAGGCAGTGAAGTCAAAGGATTTCTATATCCAGGAGGAGGGAGGGTCTAACCGCCTCCGTGAAGACCCTCCCTACTGGCACCAGGTCCAGGGTCAGCTCCACATCACTGGAAGGGACACCTGCTTCTTCGTTGTGTGGACCACCACCTCCATCACCACCTCCATCACCACCTCCATCGCCATGACGACCTCTGGCAGACTCAGATTGCTGGACTAGAGTTTTTCAAGGACCACATGCTCCCAAAGTTGGCAACAGTGAACATCTGCACATATCTCTTATCCAGAGCGACTTACAGTTAGTGAGTGCATACATTTTCATACTGAACATAATAAATTATAAGTTGTTACTCGGCTGTATGGATTCATTTTGGAAGCATTTTCCCCGTCAACAATGTGGCCTCATCAACCCGGGCACAGCGGCCAGGCAAACCCCCCCTCCCTCCCCATTTCCCTTGCAACTTTAAAGCTTCCTGCAGATTTAGCTACTTCTGAACCAACCTGCTGATGCAAGACAGAATGAGAGCGACGAGTTGAGCAGCCCACAACATCGGGGTGGGGGTGGGGGGGCCTCGAGGGGGGTTTGCCTGGCCGCTGTGCCCGGGTTGATGAGGCCACATTGTTGATGAGGCCATACAACCGAGTAACAACTCATAATTTATTATGTTCAGTATGAAAATGTACGCACTCACTAACTGTAAGACGCTCTGGATAAGAGCGTCTGCTAAATGACAAAAAATGTAAAAATGTTTTTAAAAATCTTGTAAATAGTTTTTGCACAAATCAGTTTTTGTTCTTACCTTGAGGTTTTATTCCAATTAGCACTGGATCAGCGTTCTCGTTGCGCTTCCTGTCAGTACCTGTTTCAGGGAAGCCAATGGTCCAAAAATATTCCACATAGTTCATACACACATACACACACACTAGGCTCCCAGAATAGGTTATATTACATTAAAGTTTTGCTCAAAGCAGCCAACTAAAGTCATGTAGTTAACCTTATCATGGGCACATTGGGAATTTATATCTGTGATGTTCAAATGATTTCTTTCCCCCTGTGTCTTACTTGCTGAAGGCCCCAGTCATCCCTGCCCGTACCTAAGTTCAATCACAAAGGCTGGTCTGAGTGCATCTCCTCACAGTTCTATTCAGTAGTACAACACAATTCACATTGTATTTTATCATGGGCACAGTGGGAATTTATATATGTGATGTTTAAATTATTTATTACGCCCTTTGTTGTGTGGAGCTTCCTTTTCAGGTAAATGCAGAACAGTTTTTCTTTCCCAACAGAAAATGGCAGCTGCCTGAACATTTCCAATAATGCAATAATTAAAGTAGTTGTTTTCATTTAGCTCATGTAGTTGTTATACCAGGTCATTTACACGTAACAGCACATCATCATGCCACTTGTCCTCAAACTATTAATTAGCCAGGTGAATATGTACATTTTTACATTTAAAAACAACAACATTTTCAGTCATTTAGCAGACGCTCTTATCCAGAGCGACTTACAGTTAGTGAGTGCATACATTTTTCCATACTGGCCCCACGTGGGAAACGAACCCACAACCCTGGCGTTGCACGCGCCATGCTCTACCAACTGAGCTACAGGGGACCCTGTATATCTGCACAGTATGTTTGTCAGCCAACTAGCCAGCCAGTTTAAGTTTAATGATTAACTGATAACGTTTACATTTAACTGACAACATGTACATTTAACTGACAATATTTACAATTAACTGCTAACAACAAAGCAACATGTAAGTAAAAGGCTACCTGCCATCCCGGCATCATGCCTGGAACTTCAACGGTACCACTGAACTCCAAATACACTGGTATTTCACCTAATAGATATGGGAGTTTACCAAAATTGGATTTGTTTTCTAATTCTTTGTGGGTCTGTGTAATCTGAGGGAAATATGTGTCTCTAATACAGTTACACTCTCTCTCTCTCTCTCCTCTCTCTCTCTCTCTCTCTCTCTCTCTGTCTCTCTCTCTCTCTCTGTCTGTCTGTCTGTCTGTCTGTCTGTCTGTCTGTCTGTCTGTCTGTCTGTCTGTCTGTCTGTCTGTCTGTCTGTCTGTCTGTCTGTCTGTCTGTCTGTCTCTCTCTCTCTCTCTCTCTCTCTCCTCTCTCTCTCTCTCTCCTCTCTCTCTCTCCTCTCTCTCTCTCTCTCTCTCCTCTCTCTCTCTCTCTCTCTCTCTCTCTCTCTCTCTCTCTCTCTCTCTCTCTCTATCTCTCTCTCTGACATAAGATAATATTTGTGGTCCTCTGTAGCTCAATTGGTAGAGCATGGTGCTTGTAACGCCAGGGTAGTGGGTTCGATCCCCGGCACCACCCAAAATGTATGCACACATGACTGTAAGTCGCTTTGGATAAAAGCGTCTGCTAATTGGCATATTATATTTTAATTTGATCCGCTATAATTTAATCTTGCATGGTTTCTATTTCTGGCAGACAAAGTTTGTGGTCAGGTGCTCTGTGAAGAGACAGACGGGATGTTTTTGCTCTTCAAGAAAGTTTTAGCGTTACATAAAAATGTTTCCTTGTTCATGAATGTATACACTTGTATTCCATTCTAATCCACTCATCTACCTTGCCTGAAGAAAACGATCCACAACTCATGCCAGAAAGATATCCTAATATAATCAACAATCTCTTTTTTCATTAGGAGGAAACCATTCCAAGGGAAACGGAAGAAAGTCCGCTGATGAGCTGCTAGACTACATTGCTCAGACACTTCAAGACACTTTTCAGCCAGTTTACATGTCAGCTATTACTACAGCAGTGGGTTATCATGGAAGAGACCCAGAGCACCTTGCGTCTGTACCAACCCATCGGGTAGAGGAGCTCTGTGAGGCCGTTCATCCCCACCCATTCCCCCAAACACAGGGGCCCCAACTCCAACCCCATCCACACCCACAAGGGCCTCATCCTCACCCCCACCCCTATCCAAAGGGGCCTCGGTTCCGCCCTCCACAAGACCGCCTCTCTTCGGGCTCAACTAATCATTTCCCAGTTGAGACAGTGCAGGGGGATAAGTCAGAAGAACTTGGGTTTAAAAAACAGAAACAGAGTTTTGAGGAGGACATCAAGGCGGATGGTTTAGGATCATGGTCAGACTCTGAGCTCCACTGGATGGCTGACCTCCACCTGCTAACTCTCTGTTTGGAGTGCAAGGCCAGGGTTGGGATGGGGAACCAGGGAGGGAAGCTCAGGCACCTGGGCCAAGATGGTTGCTCACCCAGACTACCACCAGACCCCCAGGTGACCAGGAGAAGGAGCACTGAGGAGCTGAGCGGCACCAGTAGCCTCCAGCACACCCTCACCTTGTGCCCTGGGACCCCACGAACAACAGGGACCTCCAGGGGAAGGAGGCTGAAGAGGCTGTAGATGATGAGCGCTCGCCCAGTCGAGGAGACGCTTCAGTGGGGTGCAGTGGAGTCCAGCCAGAGAGAGGGAGAAGGCGGACACTGTCCAGGGAGGCAGAGAGAGGGAGAAGGCGGACACTGTCCAGGGAGGCAGAGAGAGGGAGAAGACGGACACTGTCCAGGGAGGCAGAGAGAGGGAGAAGACGGACACTGTCCAGGGAGGCAGAGAGAGGGAGAAGACGGACACTGTCCAGGGAGGCAGAGAGAGGGAGAAGGCGGACACTGTCCAGGGAGGCAGAGAGAGGGAGAAGACGGACACTGTCCAGGGAGGCAGAGAGAGGGAGAAGACGGACACTGTCCAGGGAGGCAGAGAGCGGGAGAAGATGGACACTGTCCAGGGAGGCAGAGAGAGGGAGAAGGTGGACACTGTCCAGGGAGGCAGTGAGAGGGATAAATGTTTAAGAGTAGACGGACACTGTGGGAGAGAGGGAGATGACGGACACTGTCCAGGGAGGCAGAGAGAGGGAGAAGACGGACACTGTCCAGGGAGGCAGAGAGCGGGAGAAGACGGACACTGTCCAGGGAGGCAGAGAGAGGGAGAAGGTGGACACTGTCCAGGGAGGCAGTGAGAGGGATAAATGTTTAAGAGTAGACGGACACTGTGGGAGAGAGGGAGATGACGGACACTGTCCAGGGAGGCAGAGAGAGGGAGAAGACGGACACTGTCCAGGGAGGCAGAGAGAGGGAGAAGGCGGACACTGTCCAGGGAGGCAGAGAGAGGGAGAAGGCGGACACTGTCCAGGGAGGCAGAGAGAGGGAGAAGGCGGACACTGTCCAGGGAGGCAGAGAGAGGGAGACGACGGACACTGTCCAGGGAGGCAGAGAGAGGGAGAAGGCGGACACTGTCCAGGGAGGCAGAGAGAGGGAGAAGACGGACACTGTCCAGGGAGGCAGAGAGAGGGAGAAGACGGACACTGTCCAGGGAGGCAGAGAGCGGGAGGAGACGGACACTGTCCAGGGAGGCAGAGAGAGGGAGAAGGCGGACACTGTCCAGGGAGGCAGAGAGAGGGAGAAGACGGACACTGTCCAGGGAGGTAGAGAGAGGGAGAAGGCGGACACTGTCCAGGGAGGCAGAGAGAGGGAGAAGGCGGACACTGTCCAGGGAGGCAGAGAGAGGGAGAAGACGGACACTGTCCAGGGAGGCAGAGAGAGGGAGAAGACGGACACTGTCCAGGGAGGCAGAGAGAGGGAGAAGACGGACACTGTCCAGGGAGGCAGAGAGCGGGAGAAGACGGACACTGTCCAGGGAGGCAGAGAGAGGGAGAAGGTGGACACTGTCCAGGGAGGCAGTGAGAGGGATAAATGTTTAAGAGTAGACGGACACTGTGGGAGAGAGGGAGACGACGGACACTGTCCAGGGAGGCAGAGAGAGGGAGAAGACGGACACTGTCAGGGAGGCAGAGAGCGGGAGAAGACGGACACTGTCCAGGGAGGCAGAGAGAGGGAGAAGGTGGACACTGTCCAGGGAGGCAGTGTGAGGGATAAATGTTTAAGAGTAGACGGACACTGTGGGAGAGAGGGAGATGACGGACACTGTCCAGGGAGGCAGAGAGAGGGAGAAGACGGACACTGTCCAGGGAGGCAGAGAGAGGGAGAAGGCGGACACTGTCCAGGGAGGCAGAGAGAGGGAGAAGGCGGACACTGTCCAGGGAGGCAGAGAGAGGGAGAAGGCGGACACTGTCCAGGGAGGCAGAGAGAGGGAGACGACGGACACTGTCCAGGGAGGCAGAGAGAGGGAGAAGGCGGACACTGTCCAGGGAGGCAGAGAGAGGGAGAAGACGGACACTGTCCAGGGAGGCAGAGAGAGGGAGAAGACGGACACTGTCCAGGGAGGCAGAGAGCGGGAGGAGACGGACACTGTCCAGGAAGGCAGAGAGAGGGAGAAGGCGGACACTGTCCAGGGAGGCAGAGAGAGGGAGAAGACGGACACTGTCCAGGGAGGTAGAGAGAGGGAGAAGGCGGACACTGTCCAGGGAGGCAGAGAGAGGGAGAAGACGGACACTGTCCAGGGAGGTAGAGAGAGGGAGAAGGCGGACACTGTCCAGGGAGGCAGAGAGAGGGAGAAGGCGGACACTGTCCAGGGAGGCAGAGAGAGGGAGAAGGCGGACACTGTCCAGGGAGGCAGAGAGAGGGAGACGACGGACACTGTCCAGGGAGGCAGAGAGAGGGAGAAGGCGGACACTGTCCAGGGAGGCAGAGAGAGGGAGAAGGTGGACACTGTCCAGGGAGGCAGTGTGAGGGATAAATGTTTAAGAGTAGACGGACACTGTGGGAGAGAGGGAGATGACGGACACTGTCCAGGGAGGCAGAGAGAGGGAGAAGACGGACACTGTCCAGGGAGGCAGAGGGAGAAGGCGGACACTGTCCAGGGAGGCAGAGAGAGGGAGAAGGCGGACACTGTCCAGGGAGGCAGAGAGAGGGAGAAGGCGTACACTGTCCAGGGAGGCAGAGAGAGGGAGACGACGGACACTGTCCAGGGAGGCAGAGAGAGGGAGAAGGCGGACACTGTCCAGGGAGGCAGAGAGAGGGAGAAGACGGACACTGTCCAGGGAGGCAGAGAGAGGGAGAAGACGGACACTGTCCAGGGAGGCAGAGAGCGGGAGGAGACGGACACTGTCCAGGAAGGCAGAGAGAGGGAGAAGGCGGACACTGTCCAGGGAGGCAGAGAGAGGGAGAAGACGGACACTGTCCAGGGAGGTAGAGAGAGGGAGAAGGCGGACACTGTCCAGGGAGGCAGAGAGAGGGAGAAGACGGACACTGTCCAGGGAGGTAGAGAGAGGGAGAAGGCGGACACTGTCCAGGGAGGCAGAGGAGAGGGAGAAGGCGGACACTGTCCAGGGAGGCAGAGAGAGGGAGAAGGCGGACACTGTCCAGGGAGGCAGAGAGAGGGAGACGACGGACACTGTCCAGGGAGGCAGAGAGAGGGAGAAGGCGGACACTGTCCAGGGAGGCAGAGAGAGGGAGAAGGCGGACACTGTCCAGGGAGGCAGAGAGAGGGAGAAGACGGACACTGTCCAGGGAGGCAGAGAGAGGGAGAAGACGGACACTGTCCAGGGAGGCAGAGAGAGGGAGAAGACGGACACTGTCCAGGGAGGCAGAGAGCGGGAGAAGACGGACACTGTCCAGGGAGGCAGAGAGCGGGAGAAGACGGACACTGTCCAGGGAGGCAGAGAGAGGGAGAAGGTGGACACTGTCCAGGGAGGCAGTGAGAGGGATAAATGTTTAAGAGTCCAACAATGACATGGGGGGCAAAGAGGCCATGCACCTGACCCTCCAGCGCTGTTATGGACTCCCTTAGGGGGGTTCTACTCTCTGAGAACCGCTTTTGTTCTCCGAACAAAGTTCTCCCATTTGAGTACCACTACCGTTCTCGCACGCCCCGAGAGGTTCTAACTTTGATAGAAGAGCCTGTTCACATTGACTCAGATACGGAGCTCTCAGTGTACGACAACGAATTGTGTAACACCTCCCCCTTCCCCTCTAAACCACAAGAGGTAGAGGATTCACAGGACAGCACCAGGCAGTCTCCAGAGGGGGGGACCACCCAGGCTCTGAGCCCCAGCCAGGTGGGAGGCAGAGCAGAGAAGGGGTGGAGGATGGAGAGGGCAAAGGAGGAGGAGGAGAAGAGGTCAGCCCAGTGGCGGTGTGAGGAGATGGAGATGGAGATGGAGATGGAGATGGAGGGATGCAGCCTGGAGAGTGATGGAAAAGATTGAAGAGGTGGAGGGGATCATACGGAGGGTCAGTCTCACCAGCTCTGACTGGATCAAAGAAGGGAGAGATGGGAGTATTTTTGGACTGTACGCCAGATGGGTATGTGTCTGAAGAAGTGTCAGTTTCCGAGACCAAACCTGAATCCTCTCTCCAGCGAGGGCTCCAGGATTGGGGGACAACTCTGGAAGATCCTCTCCCAGCTGAGGAGCTTTATGCCCTGGGTGAGGCGTTGAGCCAGAGCCTGCGGAGCGCCCTGAGGATGGAGGGTCTGGGGGAAGATGTGGACTGGGAGGCAGTGAGGTGTAGAGAAGAGTTCAGAGAAACAACCTGGAACTTCAACTTAGAGCAAACCTCTCCAGAATTGTCATGGGATCCCATCGACCTCTCCAACGACAACACCATGACCTTTGACCCTATGAGAGAATGGAAGCATCCCTCCTCACCCTCTCTCTTGGACACCTTGTCCCCGAGGACCTCCAGTAGCTTTGACAGCATGTCCCCCATGATGTCCCCCATCCTGTCTCCTCTGTCCTCCCTATTGCTCAGCCGCTGTCCCCTTCCTCGGTCCCTCTCCCAGCCTGCTGAGGAGAGGAGCGAGGGAAGAAGAATGAGAGATGAGGAAGGTCAGAGAGGGACGAAGAATTCGGCACCGGGCCATCTTGTCCTGCAGGGTGGGAGTAGAGATAGAGGTGACAACAGTGACGTTAAGGTCAACAGAGGACAAGAAGGGGACTAGGAAGAGAGTGGCATGGCTGGACCTGAGGCTGAATGAGCAGAACCAGAAAGACAACCAGAGCAAAGGCGACTCCAGTTGGGCTGAGCCCGGTGTTTCCAGTTTGTTCGCTGTGCTGTCTTCAGGTGAGTGGTCACCTTATGCAATTCATCATGTCCAAATTATAACAAGAAAAAGGGGCTTACAGAAGGGGGAAAACATACTGCGTAGAATGGAGTAAGACACATTGTGTCATGTAACTAATATCCAGTGTGCTTGTCTTTGAGGATGTGTACTGAGCTGCACAGGTTAACTGACCCTTAAACAGTAGAAGTTGCTTCTATCCATAGATAAGTGGAAAGCAGAGCTCTGCGATGCTCTAGCTAGGTTCTGACAGTCAGGTTTACACATGGTTTAGTGATCTGCTGTTTCTTCCTCAACCACTCTGCATTCTCTACAGTCAGGTGACAGGTAAATATTTTTAAAGCCTTGATACAATTGAAACATGGATTGTGTATGTGTGCCATTCAGAGGGTGAATGGGCAAGACAAAAGATGTAAGTGCCTTTGAACAGGGTATGGTAGTAGGTGCCAGGCGCACCGGTTTTTGTCAAGAACTGCAACGCTGCTGGGTTTTTCACGCTCAATGGTTTCCCGTGTGTATCAAGAGTGGTCCAACACCCAAAGGACATCCAGCCAGCTTGACACAACTGTGGGCCTGCCAACCAGACATCTTCGTCCAGACAGCCTCACCAGCTGAGCCCTCTATTATCGCTCTACCTGGTACCTACATATACTGTATATACAAAAGTATGTGGACACCCCTTCAAATGAGTGGATTCGGCTATTTCAGCCACACCCGTTGCTGACAGGTGTATAAAATTGAGCACACAGCCACGTCATAGGATGCCACCTTTCCAAGAATTCAGTTCGTAAAATGTCTGCCCTGCTAGAGCTGCCCCGGTCAACTGTAAGTGCTGTTATTGTGAAGTGGAAACGTCTAGGAGCAACAACGGCTCAGCCGCGAAGTGGTAGGCCACACAAGCTCACAGAACGGGACCGCCTAGTGCTGAAGTGCGTAGCGCGTAAAAATCGCCTGTCCTCGGTTGCAACACTCACTACCGAGTTCCAAACTGCCTCTGGAAGCAACGTCAGCACAATAACTGTTTGTCAGGAGCTTCATCAAATGGGTTTCCATGGCCGAGCAGCCGCACACAAGCCTAAGATCACCATGCGCAATGCCAAGTGTCGGCTGGTGGTGTAAAGCTCGCCGCCATTGGACTGTGGAGCAGTGGAAAAGTGTTCTCTGGAGAGATGATTCACCATCTGGCAGTCCGACGGACGAATCTGGGTTTGGCAGATGCCAGGAGAACACTACCTGCCCTAATGCATAGTGCCAACTCTAAAGTTTGGTGGAGGAGGAATAATTGTCTGGGGCTGTTTTTCATGGTTCGGGCTAGGCCCCTTAGTTCCAGTGAAGGGAAATGTTAACGCTACAGCATACAATGACATTCTAGACGATTCTGTGCTTCCAACTTTGTGACAACAATTTGAGGAAGGCCCTTTCCTGTGCACAAAGCGAGGTCCATACAGAAATAGTTTGTCGAGATCGGTGTGTGTAAGAACTTGACTGGCCTGCACAGAGCCCTGACCTCAACCCCATCGAACACCTTGTGGCTAAATGGAAGCAAGTCCCCGCAGCAATGTTCCAACATCTAGTGTAAAGCCTTCCCAGAAGAGTGGAAGCTGTTATAGTAGCAAAAGGGGGATCAACTCCATATTGATGCCAATGATTTTGGAATTAGATATTCGATGAGCAGGTGTCCACATACTTTTGGTCATGTAGTGTATCTCAGTCATTCACATCTCATTACAGGTTAACCTGAAGGATATTAACTGATTTGACTTGTGATTATTTACAATATCAGTACAGTGCCATGTACCCAGCTGTTATATGGGCTGGGGCTAATAAAACTTTAAAGTACTACTTAAGTAGTTTTTTTGAGTATCTGTCCATTACTATTTATATTTTTGACTACTTTTACTTTTACTTCACTACATTCCTAAAGAAAATAATGTACTTTTTACTCCATACATTTTCCGTGACACCCAAAAGTACTCGTTACATTTTTTATGCTTAGCAGGGCCATGAAAATGGTCCAATTCACACACTTATCAAGAGAACATCCCTGGCCATCCCTACCGCCTCTGATCTGGCAGACTCACTAAACACAAATGCTTTATTTGTAAATCATGTCTGAGTGTTGGAGTCTGCCCATGGCTATCCGTAAAATATATATATATAATAATAATTGTGCCGTCTGGTGTGCCTAATATAATAAATGATTTATACTTTTACTTTTGATACTTAAGTATATTTTAGCAATTACATTTACTTTCGATACTTTTAGACTTCTACTTAAGTAGTATTTTACTGGGTGACTTTCACTTTTACTTGAGTCATTTTCTATTATGGTATCTTTACTTTTACTCAAGTATGACAATTGGGTACTTTTTCGACCACTGGGGGCTACTGAGTTCATGCTCAGAGGGTCATGAAGAACTCATGTCATGGCTGATAATGGCAGCAATTCCACTTCTAATTCTGAAGGTGGCGCCACAGCTAAACTTAACACGGAACTTCAGAGTATTGTAAGTGCTGTAGTGCCCTGGTTATGACACACAGTCAGAGTTCATTTGTATGAATGCTTTTGCATTAGGAAATATATTAGGAAACTTAGGGAAAGATATGGCCTTAGAGAAGGTTGAAGTATTAACTGGGGATGTCATCCTTGGAAAATAAGCATTACTGCAGTAGAAGGTGGAACTGGATTTGTTAAGTACATTACACAATACCAACTTCTACCCAGCTTAAGAGTAATGGTTTCTATGAGGGGTTTTCCATACATTGATTGAATTTCAAGTCACTTCCTGAATTGACTGAATTTAAAATGAAATTTACCCCAAATATAAACTTCTAACAACTCTATCTGATATACCAAGTGTCTCTTCTCTTTAGACAAGTCCCTGAGGAGACAGGGGGAGATCTGGCAGAGAGAGGAGTCCCTGAGGAGACAGGAGGAGATCTGGCAGAGAGAGGAGTCCCTGAGGAGACAGGAGGAGATCTGGCAGAGAGACGAGTCCCTGAGGAGACAGGGGGAGATCTGGCAGAGAGAGGAGTCCCTGAGGAGACAGGAGGAGATCTGGCAGAGAGACGAGTCCCTGAGGAGACAGGGGAGATCTGGCAGAGAGAGGAGTCCCTGAGGAGACAGGAGGAGATCTGGCAGAGAGACGAGTCCCTGAGGAGACAGGGGGAGATCTGGCAGAGAGAGGAGTCCCTGAGGAGACAGGAGGAGATCTGGCAGAGAGACGAGTCCCTGAGGAGACAGGGGGAGATCTGGCAGAGAGACGAGTCCCTGAGGAGACAGGAGGATATCTGGCAGAGAGACGAGTCCCTGAGGAGACAGGAGGAGATCTGGCAGAGAGACGAGTCCCTGAGGAGACAGGAGGAGATCTGACAGAGAGAGGAGGCCCTGAGGAGACAGGAGGAGATCTGGCAGAGAGAGGAGGCCCTGAGGAGACAGGAGGAGATCTGGCAGAGAGATGAGTCCCTGAGGAGACAGGAGGAGATCTGGCAGAGAGACGAGTCCCTGAGGAGACAGGAGGAGATCTGGCAGAGAGAGGAGTCCCTGAGGAGACAGGAGGAGATCTGGCAGAGAGAGGAGGCCCTGAGGAGACAGGAGGAGATCTGGCAGAGAGACGAGTCCCCGAGGAGACAGGAGGAGATCTGGCAGAGAGACGAGTCCCCGAGGAGACAGGAGGAGATCTGGCAGAGAGAGGAGGCCCTGAGGAGACAGGAGGAGATCTGGCAGAGAGACGAGTCCCCGAGGAGACAGGAGGAGATCTGGCAGAGAGACGAGTCCCTGAGGAGACAGGAGGTGATCTGGCAGAGAGAGGAGTCCCTGAGGAGACAGGAGGAGATCTGGTAGAGAGACGAGTCCCTGAGGAGACAGGGGGAGATCTGGCAGAGAGACGAGTCCCTGAGGAGACAGGAGGAGATCTGGCAGAGAGACGAGTCCCTGAGGAGACAGGAGGAGATCTGGCAGAGAGACGAGTCCCTGAGGAGACAGGAGGAGATCTGGCAGAGAGAGGAGGCCCTGAGGAGACAGGAGGAGATCTGGCAGAGAGATGAGTCCCTGAGGAGACAGGAGGAGATCTGGCAGAGAGACGAGTCCCTGAGGAGACAGGAGGAGATCTGGCAGAGAGAGGAGGCCCTGAGGAGACAGGAGGAGATCTGGCAGAGAGAGGAGTCCCTGAGGAGACAGGAGGGGATCTGGCAGAGAGACGAGTCCCTGAGGAGACAGGGGGAGATCTGGCAGAGAGACGAGTCCCTGAGGAGACAGGAGGAGATCTGGCAGAGAGAGGAGGCCCTGAGGAGACAGGAGGAGATCTGGCAGAGAGACGAGTCCCTGAGGAGACAGGAGGAGATCTGGCAGAGAGAGGTGGAAGAGTCTCTGTCCTACTGCCGGTCTCCCTCCGGTCCATCTTGCCTCTCCCGCCCCAAACACGTTGACTTCCTCAGGTTCACACCCCTGGGAGAAAAAAATATATATACACTCACTAACTGTAAGTCGCTCTGGATAAGAACGTCTGCTAAATTACTAAAATGTCAAATGTAAATGGAAGATGACATCACGAGCGACTCGCCTTTCTCCCCACTGCGAGTGTGTGTCAATGATGTCGTAGACATTTCCCTTAGAGGAGTGTGTCTTGATGCCCCATTGTTTTAGGGACACACATGGCAAAATGTAACATATGAAGAGTTTATTTCCAATTTTTCACATTTGTGTTTTTTCATCAGAAATGATTGTTTATGGGTACCTTCATGTGTCTGTAAAATATTATTGTTCTCAGATTTTTTATTGTGTGTTTCGCATGATTGAAGATATTTTGATGTGCATCCTTATCCAGTGATTGTCATGAATGTTGGGTTGACAATTAGACTGTAGTTGCTATATTTTACTGTCAAAGACTCAATAATGTGTTTTGTTCAACAGTAATTAATTACATAACTTTTTTTATTTTACCTGCTAAGTTGACTAGGAACACATTCTAATGTGCAGCAACGACCTGGGGAATAGTTACAGGGAATGAATGAGCCAATTGGAAGCTGGGGATTATTCGGTGGCCAGATTGAGAATTTAGCCAGGACACCGGGGTTAACACCCCTACTCCTACAATAAGTGCCACGGGATCTTTAGTGACAACAGAGAGTCAGGACACTTGTTTAACATCCCATCCGAAGACAGCACCCTACACAGGGCAATGTCCCCAATCACTGCCCTGGGATCTTTTGTTTTTGACCGGAGGAAAGAGTGCCTCCTACTGGCCCTTAAATACCACTTCCAGCAGCACTTCCAGAAACATCTGGTCTCCCATCCAGGGACCAACCCTTTTAGCTTCAGAGGCAAGCCAGCAGTAGGATGCAGGGTGGTATGCTGCACTAATATCACATGCTTATTAATTTGGGATACAACACCTGAGGAAGTGGAAACTCAAAACATATTAACTCTAAGTAGTTATAAACCTATAGGTCTTTGCCCTCGCAATGGCTGGTGCACATTTTGCGTCTGCGCTGTTCCATATCTCAAAGCCATATCAAATATATTGGTTGTAAAATAGTTGCTATTGAGCTGAATATTGAGAGTTGAGAAAAAAAGATTATACTTACAGAAAGCTGAGATCCTCCTCTCTTCGACAGGGTCAAGGGGACGAAGCTTCCAAAGCTGTGTTTTTCCCGCAATTGCATTTTGAAATGTTTTTCTTTCTTCTGTTGAGCGCATCGGGGTAGAGGAGAGTGGCTTGCTCATCACAGCACCAGGCCACAGCGAAACAGGCAGAGGGGCTGGGCAGTCACTTTCATTACAGGAATCATGAGAATAATGTACTTTACTGTTTGACCAAATCATGGTTTTAACTGCCCAAAAAATAGGAAGGTTTGATTGAGGTGACAATGTGCTCTTTCTGTGTTTATAGGCACCCTGTGTGTCAATTTCCACCAGTCCACCCAACTAAAAAATGGTACAGCCCATCTGGCATGTGCCAGAATTGCCAGATGGCCAATCGGCCCCCGGATCTCATAATACTTTACTGATTCATTTTTAAAAAAATATTATTTTATATATATTGATATCACAAATGTATCATTTGTACAGTTATTTATTAAAGTTATTTGCTACATTTAACTGTGTAAAACCTAGCAGTGCTACTTATTTATCTGAGAGTGTGGTGGATATACAGTGGGGAAAAAAAGTATTTAGTCAGCCACCAATTGTGCAAGTTCTCCCACTTAAAAAGTTGAGAGAGGCCTGTAATTTTCAACATAGATTTCAACAATCCAGAAAATCACATTGTAGGAGTTTTAATGAATTTATTTGCAAATTATAGTGGAAAATAAGTATTTGGTCACCTACAAACAGGCAAGATTTCTGGCTCTCACAGACCTGTAACTTATTCTTTAAGAGGCTCCTCTGTCCTCCACTCGTTACCTGTATTAAAGGCACCTGTTTGAACTTGTTATCAGTATAAAAGACACCTGTCCACAACCTCAAACAGTCACACTCCAAACTCCACTATGGCCAACACCAAAGAGCTGTCAAAGGACACCAGAAACAAAATTGTAGACCTGCACCAGGCTGGGAAGACTGAATCTGCAATAGGTAAGCAGCTTGGTTTGAAGAAATCAACTGTGGGAGCAATTATTAGGAAATGGAAGACATACAAGACCACTGATAATCTCCCTCGATCTGGGGCTCCACGCAAGATCTCACCCTGTGGGGTCAAAATGATCACAAGAACGGTGGGCCAAAATACCAGCAACAGTGTGTGAAAACCTTGTGAAGACTTACAGAAAACGTTTGAGCTGTGTCATTGCCAACAAAGGGTATATAACAAAGTATTAAGAAACTTTTGTTATTGACCAAATACTTATTTTCCATCATAATTTGCAAATAAATTCATAAAAAATCCTACAATGTGATTATCTGGATTTTCTTTTCTCATTTTGTCTGTCATAGTTGACGTGTACCTATGATGAAAATTACAGGCCTCTCTCATCTTTTTAAGTGGGAGAACTTACACAATTGGTGGCTGACTAAATACTTTTTTCCTCCACTGTATAGTGTTTAAAAAAAAACATGTTTATTCATCTCTCTGAAATGAAACCATCAAATACAGTGTATTTGGAAAATATTCAGACCCCTTCCCTTTTTCCACATTTTGTAACGTTACAGCCTTATTCTAAAATTGATTAAATAAGTAAAAATCCTCATCAATCTACACACAATACCCCACAATGACAAAGCGAAAACAGGTTTTTAGATATATTTGCTAATTTATAAAATATTACAAACAGAAATACCTTATTTACATAAGTATTCAGACCCTTTGCAATGAGACTTGAAATTGAACTCAGGTGCATCCTTTTTCCATTGATCATCCTTGAGATGTTTCTACAACTTGATTGGAGTCCAACTGTGGTAAATCCAATTGATTGGACATGATTTGGAAAGGCACACACCTGTCTATATAAGGTCCCGCAGTTGACAGTGCATGTCAGAGCAAAAACCAAGCCATGAGGTCGAAGGAATTGTCCGTAGAGATCCGAGACAGGATTGTGTCGAGGCACAGATCTGGGGAAGGGTACCAATACAATTCTGTAGCATTCAAGGTCTCCAAGAACACAGCTGCCTCCATCATTCTTAAATGGAAGAAGTTTGGAACCACCAAGACTCTTCCTAGAGCTGGCCGCCCGGCCAAACTGAGCAATCGGCGGAGAAGGGCCTTGGTCAGGGAGGTGACCAAGAACCTGATGGTCACTCTGACAGAGCTCCAGAGTTCCTCTGTGGAGATGGGAGAACCTTCCAGACGGACAACCATCTCTGCAGCACTCCACCAATGAGGTATTTATGGTAGAGTGGCCAGACGGATGCCACTCCTCAGTAAAAGGCACATGACAGCCCGCTTGGAGTTTGCCAAAAGGCACCTAAAGGACTCTCAGACCATGAGAAACAAGATTCTCTGGTCTGATGAAACCAAGATTGAACTCTTTGGCCTGAATGCCAAGCGTCACGTCTGGAGGAAACCTTGCACCACCCTACTGTGAAGCATGGTGGTGGCAGCATCATGCAGTGGGGATGTTTTTCAGCGGCAGGGACATTGAGACTAGTCAGGATCGAGGGAAAGATGAACGGAGCAAAGTACAGAGAGACCCTTGATGAAAACCTGCTCCAGAGCGCTCACAACCTCAGACTGGGGCGAAGGTTCACCTTCCAACAGGACAACGACCCTAAGCACACAGCCAAGACATCACAGGAGTGGCTTCTGGACAAGTCTCTGAATGTCCTTGAGTGGCCCAGCCAGAGCCCGGACTTGAACTGATCGAACATCTCTGGAGAGACGTGAAAATAGCTGTGCAGAGACGTGAAAATAGCTGTGCAGCGACGCTCCCCATCCAACCTGACAGAGCTTGAGAGGATCTGCAGAGGAGAATGGGAGAAACTCCCCAAATACAGGTGTGCCAAGCTTGTAGCGTCATACCCAAGAAGAATGTAGGCTGTAATCACTGCCAAAGGTGATTCCACAAAGTACTGAGTAAAGGGTCTGAATACTTATGTAAATGTCATATTTCCATTTTTTTAATCTGTAACACATTTGCAAAAATGTCTAAAAACCTGTTTTTGCTTCGTCATTATGGGGTATTGTGTGTAGATTGATGAGGGAAAAAAACGATTTAATCCATTTTAGAATAAGGCATCAAAAGAGATCTATTGAATCTGTATAGGTGATTTGTGTGAACTGAGGAGGTAGAACTTATTACCCCCATCACTGCTGAATAGTTTTGTGTGTGCATGGGCGCAAATGTGTGTGTGTGTGTTTGTGTGTGTGTGTGTGTGTGTGTGTGTGTGTTGAGTGGGTTTGTGCTAGCCACCAGCTATCTTCCTAGCAGCTACCCGTTGACAGGCGCCTGGTCTGTTTAAGCAGGGTGGGGTGTTGTTGGTCTGCTCTGTACCTGTCACACCAAGTAAACCAGTTATTTATAGTTATATCAATGGCCCTGTCTGTCTCTAGAGTAACCCTGTTAACCTCTCAATGGCCATGTCTGTCTCTAGAGTAACCCTGTTAACCTCTCAATGGCCATGTCTGTCTCTAGAGTAACCCAGTTAACCTCTCAATGGCCATGTCTGTCTCTAGAGTAACCCAGTTAACCTCTCAATGGCCATGTCTGTCTCTAGAGTAACCCAGTTAACCTCTCAATGGCCATGTCTGTCTCTAGAGTAACCCAGTTAACCTCTCAATGGCCATGTCTGTCTCTAGAGTAACTAATGAAGTAACTTTAAATGCTACGTCATTCGTAGTAGAGTACAATGTTTGTTAGGTTTGGAGTCTGGCTGGTTAAAACATTAGAGTGACCGATGGTGAGGGCCCGAAAATCTGCGCCAAAGTTTTAGCAATAGACAAGACCCACTAACACACACTAACTCATTGACTTTGAACCGTAAACCTCTTTCTCCTATGAATCCCTTATGACTAAGGTATCTTAGTGGTTAAGAGTGTTGGGCCAGTAACCGAAAGGTCGTTGATACGAATCCCCGAGCTGACTGGGTGAAAAATCTGTCAATGTGCCCTTGAGCGAGGCACTTAACCCTAATTGCTCTGGATAAGAGCATCTGCTAAATGACTAAAATGCCATTAAAAGCCTAATCATCAGCAATATTACAATCTGGGCTGGGCAGAAACCTTAGAGACTATACTGTAAGTCTCAACCCAAGTTACATAATGAATACTGTATGAATTTGACCTGCAAATAAAGATGCCAAATTAAATAAGTATGGGAACTGATACATAGAAATTAGGTGCCTTTTCAAGTACAATTGACTGCTACTACATATGTTTTTTGATCATTTAGCAGATACTCTTATCCAGAGTGACTTACGGGAGCAATTAGGGTCAAGTGCCTTGCTCAAGGGCACAACAACAGATTTTTCACCTTGTCGGCTCGGGGATTCAAACCAGCTACCTTTCGGTCACTGGCCCGACGCTCTAACCGCTAGGCTACCTGCACATACCTACCATAATATGTACTTTGTAATTGATTGTGTCCATTTCACATAGCTCTTAAACGTTTCTATTCACAACTCCTTTCTACCTTTTATATTACCATGTAAGAAAACGATAGTAACTTTCCATGGAAATGACTCATCAGTAAATAAGATTGAAAGAGTAAGCATTGTAGGTGACTAAGCAGCTGATTAGTGTTGTGTCGGTCAGTTCACAGGAGAGTTTGTGAAGACCTCCACATCTACTTTTTCTATAGGCTACCACTCCTGAGTTCTGGGAGAAATAATTATCTCTCTACTCCGCAGTCCAATTAAGCTTTGTCGATGAATTGAGAAACAAAGTGGATGTGTGTTAGATCCAGCCATACGTGAAGGAGTACAATGGAAGTTGAATAGAATAGCTCACCAGAATACATCTCCTACTCCGGTTCCTACTGCCCCAGCCTTGTTTACCCTACAATCAGTCAGCCAGTCAGTCAGTCAGTCAATCTGGGTGTGGTGTTCTGTGCTGTACTGTTGTCTGGGTGGACACCAGAGTACCACTCCAAAGCGGAACTCTTAGGGTGTGTAGTCTGATTCACTCTAATATTGTGGCTGCTACTGCTGAGACAGAGTCTTCGGTGAAGAGGAAAAGGAAGAACAGGCTGGAGAGTTGGAAGTCTGATACAGTCTACTCCTGGGAAAGAGTGTTTCTTCAGTGAGAGAAGAACAGGCTGGAGAGTTGGAAGGGGAGGACTGCTAACGTCTACTGCAGGGAAGGATTGTCTTTAGTGAGAGAAGGAAGAAGGATAAGCCTCAGGGTTTGTAGTGGAGGAGAGGACCAGACCAACTGTCTGATACTGTGGTCTGATAATGCGGCTAACAGACTGTCTTCAGTGAAGAGAGAAGGAGAAGAGTGGATGAGGTCTGCTACAGTCTGCTACAGCCTAGTTGGAGAAAAAGCTAGAGGGATCTGAACAGAAAGACAGAGGGATCTGAACAGAAGACAGAGGGATCTGAACAGAAGACAGGGATCTGAACAGAAGACAGAGGGATCTGAACAGAAGAAGACAGGGGGATCTGAACAGAAGAAGACAGGGGGATCTGAACAGAAGACAGGGATGTGAACAGAAGACAGGGATCTGAACAGAAGACAGGGATCTGAACAGAGAAGGAGAAGATGAGACTGGTGATAGAGTTTTTATTAAAGCTAAATGGTAGAGCTCAAATCTCTTTGGAGCGTTGCCTTTTTTCTAGTACTTTCTGAATGTGTTGCAAAAAAGTACTGGTAACTACCTTCAGGACTAAGTACTGCTTCTGGTTACTTTTTCCATGCTGATGTTTCTTCCCCACAAATATATATTTGGGTGGCATGTGGTATCCCCATTAACACCTTCACATTTTAGAGGACTTATCAAATAATATAACTACTCAAACTTCCATCAACCGTTACAGTGGCTACAAAAAAGAGGAATATCGGTTTTAATTTTGTTTTTGTGGATTGAGATGCCTTTCTTATTGTTCTAGTTCTTCTCCTCTTGAGCAGAAGCAGCGTGTGTTTCTGACGGTGCACGGACGTACTCTTTCCTGTCAACACTGAGTGGCCATTTTGTGTTGGACCAACACAGCATTACCTGGATTGGAGACAGATTAAAGTACATTACATGCATTAAAGTGAACGGTGTGTGGTGAGATCGCTGGATATGCGTTTGGACCTGAATCGTATTAGTTATGATACATTTTTTGATGATTTAAACCTGGATAAAGATCTCAACCATGGACGGAGTAAACATGAATGCTAACGGCAACACTGATGGTGCTCAGGGGAAGGCCTCTTCCAACAGGTTCTCCACCATCTTCACCCTCTCCGACCGGTCCGAGTCCCAACGGCCTGATGACGAGACGGCGGTCCTGAAGTTCTTCCGGACTCTCTCTGAAGAGACAGACATTTCTCCTGGGAACATCAACAGCAGTCATGGAACATCTGTTGAAGTCAATGGAAATGAGAGGACAGAAGGAGGGGATTCAAGTGTAGTCGGTGTTGTGCAGACGAATGGAGAATCCACCACCCCCACCACAGTTGTACGGGCCAATGAGAGAGAGGAAGTATGTGGAACAGAGGGATGCATGGAAGTGGAGTCTGTAGATGGAATGTCACCAGGGATTAGTTGTTCTGTGGAATGTGACAGGAATGGAGGTCTGGCTCAATGGATTCCAGAAGCACAGAGTGACATCATGGACTCAGAGGAGGAAGATGCAAATGGAAACGGTCTTGTTCAGTCAGAAGACTACATTGCAGATAAGAAGCCCCATTTACAAGGATATAGTGGGTCAACAGACCAATCGGATGACTGCATTCCAGAAAGGACATCTCACTTACAAGGATATGCGGGGCCAATGGATTCTTTAACAAATGAACCGAGAGTGTCCATAGACAAACATAGGAACAGTGGCTCGTCTGAAGACTGCAGTAGGGAGGAGCCTATAGACACTGACACACAGTGTGCTACAGACAGCACCAATCAGGACGTAGCCTCCGACTGTCCCAGTACAGACCAGTCAGAGACAACTGACCAGCAACGTCTGTACAGATCCACAGACAACATTCATCAAGATATGTTAAAAAGTAATGAAATCAGTAACACCGATGAGAAAGACACAGCCAAGGATGTTCGCAACAACACAGATGAATCTACAGACAAGCACAACAGACTGGCTTGGTTAACAGACAGTGAAACCAATCCAACAGGCAGCAGTAAACAGGAAAAATCTACAGATGATAAACATAGCCAAGACTTACCAACACCTGATGATGATGTGGCCAGAGACCTTGCTAACCCCTCTGCAGTAAGAGCTGGTAAACCTGACACTAGTGGAACACCATCTTCAAACAACAGAACCGTGGTTCTAACCATGACCAGGACTGAACCTGTTTCTGAGGAGCAGCAGCATACAGCCGCTGAAACTGAGACTGTTGTTGGGACTACAGGACAGACTGAGGAGCCAGCATGTGGGTCTAGCGTTGAGGTGGAAGAGAGAGGGGAGACCTACCCAGACTCAGATTCAGACAGTCTCACTGGGGCAGTAGTGGAGACTGGAGAGACCGATACTGGGAATGACAGGGTGGTGTCTTGGAGAGACAGTCCTGGAGAGACCGATACTGGGAATGACAGGGTGGTGTCTTGGAGAGACAGTCCTGGAGAGACCGATACTGGGAATGACAGGGTGGTGTCTTGGAGAGACAGTCCTGGAGAGACCGATACTGGGAATGATAGGGTGGTGTCTTGGAGAGACAGTCCTGGAGAGACCGATACTGGGAATGATAGGGTGGTGTCTTGGAGAGACAGTCCTGGAGAGACCGATACTGGGAATGATAGGGTGGTGTCTTGGAGAGACAGTCCTGGAGAGACCGATACTGGGAATGATAGGGTGGTGTCTTGTACTTCTGAAGCTATGCTGTCCTCTGAAGTGATAGAGAGAAGCCCTGGAGAGACAGAGTCTACAGCCGGGCCTTCTCACCCAACAAGTCCCAAGGGGCCAACCCCACCCCCAGGTCCAACCAGTGGCCCTCCCCCTGGCACCACCTCCACCAGAGCCACCTTCTCCCTCGGTTACCCAGTGGAGAAGCCCCTCCAGCTGCCTGCCCTCTTCAGTGGCCTGAGGATCCTAAAGAAGGGAGCGACGGGGCCGGATCAGGACATAGTGGCCCTGATCAAACCACCGTCACCATCAGGCCTGGGTGTGGACAAGCCTGTGAGGAGAGAGCAGAGGACGGTTCGCAGGAGGCAGGGGAGCATCTTGGACCAGCTCTCCCAGTTCCTGAACATGGAGAAGGATGATAACAGTAAGACGAAGGAGTCTACAGGAGAGGAGAGGAGGGAGTCTACGGGAGAGGAGAGGAGGAGGTCTACAGGAGAGGAGAGGAGGCAGTCTACAGGAGAGGAGAGGGGGGAGTCTACAGGAGAGGAGAGGAGGCGGTCTACAGGAGAGGAGAGGAGGGAGTCCGAGCCATCAGAAGAGTCTAAAGAAGTGAGTGTTGAACCTGAGGAAAAGAAAGAGAATATAAAAGAGGGAGGAGAAGGGCAGAAAACTGGAGAGGAGGAAGAGAAGACTGAAGGTCCGTCTGTGATAAAGCCTCCGGAATCTTCAGAACCTTCGGAGCCTCTAGAACCCTCAGAACTTAAGGAACCTCAGAAGCCTGCTCCCTCCAGTGCGGAGGCAGCGTTTGATGCGTTCAAGGCCTTTTTCGTCCCCAGGCACCTGAGGGGGGACCAGGAGGCAGTGAAGAGGAAGGCCTGGATCTTTGAGAGAACCTTCAAGACTCCTGAAAAGAAAACTGATTCAAAAGTATGTTGTCTTGCTCTGACCATGATATCTCTCTATCGTCTGATATGAGTGAATGGGTAATCAGTTGGAACGTTATTTAACGTTGTTGGAACGTTCCTTAATGTTGTAGGAACTTTCACGGTTTGCTGGGACATTCATTTATGTATTTAGCGCTTAATGCCTGAATAGAGAATGTCTTTAAATATGTTCCTATTATTGTGTCTCTGCCCCCCCCCCCCAGTCGCAGGCATCGACCCTAGGTGATGGAGAGGACCGGTCCACCCCAGGCCGTCTGCAGGCCATCTGGCCCCCAACTAAGGAGGAGAAAGTGGGACTGAAATACACAGAAGCCGGTAAGGACCCAAAGGACAAAAAACTACTTATAGTAAACAAATATTCACCATGGCTGGAACCCTACAGTAACTTGAGGTATCTCTGATTATATAACATATTTAATGATGTCAAAGAGATTTGCATGGACATTCTAGTTCTATGTACAGATCTTAAGTTAGGATTCAGCCCTTGACGTTGACCCATGCAGCCAGCCAGGCCAGCTCCTTGCTGTGACTAACTGAGCTCTGTGGGTTCAATTCCATTTTAATTCCAGGCAAATTCCAATTTCACTGGAATGGAATCAACCCTGTCTGAAAGTTACAGTATATAATGGAGAGAGAGAGCAAGAGAGAGAGAGAGAGATTTCTATGTAGTAAATGTATAATCCCATGGTCTAATGGGAAGGTAAATACTCCTCCACCCTGTGCCTGTGATTGTCCACAGCAGAAGGCTGCCTAGTCTCCAGATGACTGATGTCACAAGGGCATTGTTTTCAGACAGGGCTGTGTGTACGGTGGTGCCAGGAACTGTTCCATTCACTTCTTAAATTCTGATCTGATAACACATCAGGTGTGTTTGGCAAGGGCCGCTCCCTGTGCTCACACAGGCACCAGCTGATGATCAATTAAATATACATCTATAAATGGTTCTCATGAGTGTGTTTAGGAGAACACATATAAAGATGTACGGTAATTTTGGAGAATCTCTTATAAAATGGGTCAAAATCATGTATTGTAACCCTAGGTGTAAAATAGTAAATAATGGCTATTTCTCAGAAAGTTTTAAACTGTCCAGAGGAGTGAAACAAGGTTATCCACTATCGGCATATCTATTTATTGTGGCCATCGAGATGTTAGCTATTCAAATCAGATCCAACAATAGTATCAGGGGATTAGAAATCCAGGGCTTAAAAACAAAGGTGTCATTGTACGCTGATGATTCATGTTTTCTTTTAAATCCACAACTAGAATCCCTCCACAGCCTCATAGAGGATCTAGATACATTTTCTAACATCTCTGGATTACAACCAAATTATGACAAATGTACTATATTACGTATTGGATCACTAAAAAATACAATTTTTACATTACCATGTAGTTTACCAATAAAATGGTCTGATGGTGATGTGGATATACTCGGAATACATATCCCAAAGGAAATAAATGATCTCACTTCAATACATTTTTATAAAAAATTAGCAAAAATAGAAAAGATCTTGCTACCATGGAAAGGTAAATTTAATTTAAATATGCCATTTAGCAGACGCTTTTATCCAAAGCGACTTACAGTCATGCGTGCATACATTTTTTTTTGTGTATGGGTGGTCCCGGGGATCAAACCCACTACCTTGGCGTTACAAGCGCCGTGCTCTACCAGCTGAGCTACCTGTCCATTTGTGGAAAAATCACCCTGATTAACTCTTTAGTATTATCCCAGTTTACCTATTTGCTTATGGTCTTGCCTACGCCTAGCGAACATTTTTTTAAATTATATGAGAAAAAAATATTCAATTTTATTTGGAACGGCAAGCCAGACAAAATTAAACGGGCCTATTTATATAATGAATATGAATTCGGAGGACAGAAATTATTAAATATTAAAGCATTAGACCTATCACTAAAAGCTTCAGTCATACAAAAGTTATACTTAAATCCGAACTGGTTCTCTAGCAAATTAGTAAGATTGTCTCACCCAATGTTCAAGAATGGCCTTTTTCCCTTTATTCAGATTACAACCTCTCACTTTCAGTTATTTGAAAAGGAAATCATCTCCCAAATATCACTATTTCTAAAACAAGCCATAGATAGTTGGTTGCAACTTCAATTTAATCATCCAGAAACGACAGAACAAATAAGGCAACACATATTGTGGTTAAACTCAAATATACTAATTGACCAAAAAAAAAAAAAATTTGACTAAATGTTTAAAAAAGGTATAATCTTCATAAATGATATCATCGGTAGAACTGGTGGAGTTATGTCTCACATGCAGCTAACAAAAACATATGGAAATGTCTGCTCTACCCAAAATTACAACCAAATAATTGCAGCCTTACCGCAAAAATGGAAGAGGAAAGTGGAAGGGGGAGAAAGTAAGGAATTTGTCTGTCGGCCTTGCATTAAAGAACATAATTGGTTAAGGAAAACTGTGATAAATAAAAAAGTATACCAGTTTCATTTAAGGACCAAAGGATTGACAGCCGTCCCATATAGATTGCAAAATAGTTGGGAAGAGATTTTTGACGTACCAATCCCATGGCATAGTGTTTATGAACTGATACGCAAAACGACACCGGATTCAAAACTTAGAATCTTTCAATTTAAATTATTATATAAAATTCTTGCTACCAATAGAATGTTATTTATATGGGGGATACAATCTTCCCAGCTCTGCAGAATTTTATAAGAGACAGAATCATTTGTTTTGGTACTGTCCATTTGTAGCTTGTTTTTGGACACAGGTCCAGGAATGGCTAAAGGATTGCAATATTTACCTGGAGCTAACCCTGCAGATAGCATTACTGGGTGATCTGAAAAGTCATAGTCAATCGATCAATAATATAATAATACTTTTAGCAAAAAAAAATATTTTCAATTCACAATCTGTAGAAACAATGAGAATAGAAAGGTTCAGAATTTTTGTAAAACATCACAGTACAGTTGAAAAATATATGGCAAATAGAAATCCTATATGGATGGTGTTAAGAGATAAATGGGAGGTGTTGAATGGAGTTGAAGGATGGGACTAATAACAACTAACAACGAATAATAACAAGATAACTAATCATTTAAGCATACTGTGTCCATAATAAATAATAAGTATATAGGTTGTAGGTTGGGAGCTTTTGTGGAAGAGCACAGTTAGAAAGATATGGCATATAGAAGCAAACCGGATGGACATCATGAAAATGATCGGAGGTTGAGAGTAGAAGAAGTTCAGGAGAAAAAACAAACAAAATATAATTATTGTAAAATTGACTGTGTCCATAAAATGTAGATAGTAAGTATAAGCTGGAAGTAGAGGCCTAAGCATTGTTGTTCACTAGTTTACTCCAAGTGGGGAAAGGGTGGTGGGGTTGGAAAGTAATAATATAATAATAAACCATTTAGCAGACGCTTTTATCCAAAGGGACTTACAGTCATGTGTGCATACATTTTTACATATGGGTGGTCCCGGGGATTGAACCCACTACCCTGGCGTTACAAGCGCCATGCTCTACCAACTGAGCTACAGAGGACATTTACAGAGGACCACAGGGGAGTATATATTTTTTAAGGATATGTATGCGTATGTATGTATGTATGTATGTATATGTGTATGTGTATATATATATATGTATATATATATATGTATATATATATATATATATATATATATATGTGTATATATATATATATATATGTATATATATATATATATACATATGTATATACAATCCCCCATGTTTATATATATATATAAACATGGGGGATTGGAAGAGATGCAGACAATTACATTGATGGAAGTTACAATCTATCTCCAATATTAAGCCGATCTACCCCCTTAAAAGGAAAAAATAAAAGGAAAAATAATAACCTCCTGAGTGGCGCAGTGGTCTAGCTGTTCCACTAGAGATCCTGGTTCGAATCCAGGCTCTGTCGTAGCCGGCCGCGACCGGGAGACCCATGGGGCGGCGCACAATTGGCCCAGCGTCTCCAGGGTAGGGGAGGGAATGGCCGGCAGGTATGTAGCTCAGTTGGTAGAGCATGGCGTTTGCAACGCCAGGGTTGTGGGTTAGTTTCCCATGGGGGGCCAGTATGAAAAAAATCTTAAATAATAATGTATGCGCTAACTGCAAGTCGCTCTGGATAAGAGCGTCTGCTAAATGACGTAATGTAATAATAAAAAAAGAGAAGATTTTGAAAGAAATGTATGGTAACAATAGGGAATGTATTTTTAGATTATAGAGATTTACTGCCACCTTGTGGTTCAGTTGTATATTTCATCACGGTCTGCTTGTCCTCCAGAACACCAGGCAGCCCTCCTGCAGCTGAAGAGAGAATGCAAAGAGGAGCTGGAGAAGACACAGGTCAGTAAAGCACAGTACTACACCTCCTTTAATACCTGTGACCCAGACAGATTTAGCCACAGACCTGTAGGTCATACAGCTGGTCTTACACTTCCTTTACACAACCCTATCACAACTCTTATACAACCCTAACACAACCTTAACCCTAACACAGTCCTAACACAACCCTATCACAACTCTTATACAACCCTAACACAACCTTAACCCTAACACAACCTTAACCCTAACACAACCCTAACCCTAATACAGTCCTAACACAACCCTATCACAACTCTTACACAACCCTAACACAACCCTAACGTTAACTGCAGGAGGACTTTGGGAAGCAGCTGCGCCAGATGAGAGGGGACAATGAGGAGTGTGTATTCCGCCTGGAGTGCACCCTGGCCCGGCTACAGAGCGACCTAGCCCTGGGTGCCCACCACCGCCGTGGAGACCTCCGAGACGTGGCCGTATCCACGGGAGATGACCTCTCACCCCGGACCGTCCGCACCGTGTGCGTTCAGACAGACCGCCAGACCTTTATCAGCACCCCTGAGGATCAGGAGGGAGGTGTCAGTCTGTGTCTGAGCCCCCAACCCCCCCTCAACGTGCCTAAGAGACTGGACCTGGCTTCTATCAGTCTAAATCTGTCTGGACAGGCTACCTCTCCCTCTTCTCCCTCCTCTCCCTCTTCTTCCCCCCTTCTTCTCCCTCCTCCTCCTCCACTCCCACTATCAGAACCACTTCTTCAAGCGTTTTCATCAGGCAACCTAGCCCCACCTCCTCCTCTACCTCCTCCTCCTTTCCCAAACCAGACCCAGGGACTTGACGGCCCTCCTCCAACCCGACCACCAGGCTGTGGTCCCCCTCCCCCTCCACCACCACCAGGCTGTGGTCCCCCTCCCCCTCCACCACCACCAGGCTGTGGTCCCCCTCCCCCTCCACCACCACCAGGCTGTGGTCCCCCTCCCCCTCCACCACCACCAGGCTGTGGTCCCCCTCCCCCTCCAGGGGGTCTTAACCTCAGTGTGTTGGTGGATAAATGCCACAGGAAGCCTGCTGTGGAACCAGCCTGTCCCATGAAGCCTCTCTACTGGACCAGGATACAGATACAGGACAACAAGTATGTGTTACACCTAACAATCAATCAATCACTCAATCAATCAATTAGTCAAAGTTTTATTTTTCTTGTACAAGGTAACAAAATCAGTATTGCTCTTCCATTTTTACATTGTAATCGCCATTGTAAAGTTGTTCTTTTTTACTTTGCAAAACAAAACAGACAAACTACTGATCCCACCCACCTCGATGTTCACACTTATCTCTGATCCCGACCCAACCCGATGTTCACACTTATCGCTGATCCCGACCCACCCCGATGTTCACACATATCGCTGATCCCGACCCACCCCGATGTTCACACTTATCGCTGATCCCGACCCACCCCGATGTTCACACTTATCGCTGATCCCGACCCACCCCGATGTTCACACTTATCGCTGATCCCGACCCACCTCGATGTTCACACTAATCACTGATCCCGACCCACCCCGATGTTCACATTTATCGCTGATCCCGACCCACCCCGATGTTCACACATATCGCTGATCCCGACCCACCCCGATGTTCACACTTATCGCTGATCCCGACCCACCCCGATGTTCACACATATCGCTGATCCCGACCCACCCTGATGTTCACACTTATCGCTGATCCCGACCCACCCTGATGTTCACACATATCGCTGATCCCGACCCACCCCGATGTTCACACTTATCGCTGATCCCGACCCACCCCGATGTTCACACTTATCGCTGATCCCGACCCACCCCGATGTTCACACATATCGCTGATCCCGACCCACCCCGATGTTCACACTTATCGCTGATCCCGACCCACCCCGATGTTCACACATATCGCTGATCCCGACCCACCCCGATGTTCACACTTATCGCTGATCCCGACCCACCCCGATGTTCACACCTATCGCTGATCCCGACCCACCCCGATGTTCACACTTATCGCTGATCCCGACCCACCCCGATGTTCACACTTATCGCTGATCCCGACCCACCCCGATGTTTACACATATCGCTGATCCCGACCCACCCCGATGTTCACACATATCGCTGATCCCGACCCACCCCGATGTTCACACATATCGCTGATCCCGACCCACCCCGATGTTCACACATATCACTGATCCCGACCCACCCCGATGTTCACACATATCGCTTTTCAATATTTGGACACACCACAGGACAGTCTAAAATAATTATAATCAAAAGAAGCAGAAGCAGATCTCTGTACTGTTGCACTGTAATCCGAAACCTTTTGAACGTTCTTGTTCCCTCTCACAGCTCTCCATCCAGCCAATGTAGACAACCGCAAACTGTTATGTTATGAGCGTGGCTCTGTTAAATAGCTGTGTGCTCAACACCAACAGCCCCTCTGGATGGTCTTTCATCCTGGTGGCCAGAGAGAAAGGAGAGAGGAAATAGCATAACATTTGTTGCGGCCAAATATATTGTCACCCTTGCACTTTTCTTAAATAGTTCCCTATTTCTTCAAAAAAGTGAGTTGAAATTGAAGAACACTTTTGGTCTCCACACCTTGTTATTAGATTTTCAAAATTGTAGAACCAATTTTATTTTTGTAAACTTTAGATTTAAATTGTTTATTTAGAAAATAAAGACAAATGGCATGGACGAAATTATTGGCACCCTGGAGCTAGTACTTGGTTGCACAGCCTTTGGCCAAGATAACTGCAGACAGCACTTATTGTAGCCATCAATAAGCTCCCTACACCTTTCTACTAGCAGTTTGGCCCACACTTGAGCAGCAAACTGCTCTAATTCTTTTGAGAGGTACCCTCCACCAATTGCTGTTTTCAGATCTCGCCATAGGTTTTAGTTGTGATTCAGATCTGGACTTCACTGGCCACTCCAGAACAGTCCAGCGTTTCTTATTGAACCATTCCTGGGTGCTTTTTAATGTGTGATTGGGGTTGTTGTCCTGCTGGAAGATCCACAACCTTCAACAGAGACACAGTATTTGGACACTGGGTTGAACATTGCACTCCAAAAAACCTTAATAATCTGCTTCTAAATTAAAATTGTGAACTTGGTTCTGCAATGTTGACAATCCAATAACAAGGTGTGGAGACCAAACATTTGTTTCAATTTCAACTTATTTGAGAAGAAATAGGGAATTATTTAAGAAAAGTGCAAGGGTGCCAATATATTTGGCCACAATTCTTAAACACATCAATATGTATAGATTTGATCTAGACTGATGCACATACAGTTATCTCTCTCTCTCTCTCTCTCTCTCTCTCTCTCTCTCTCTCTCTCTCTCTCTCTCTCGCTCTCTCTCTCTCTCTCTATCTCTCTCTCTCTCTCTCTCTCTCTCTCTATCTCTCTCTCTCTCTCTCTCTCTCTCTCTCTCTCTCTCTCTCTCTCTCTCTCTCCTTTCTCAGTAAGGACACACTGTGGAACTCTCTTGAGGAGCTAGACATCATCAACACCACAGAGTTTGAAGACCTGTTCTCAAAGACCACCATACAGACCAAGAGAAAACCTCTGGCAGAGGCCTATGAGATGAAAGCCAAGGCCAAGAAGGTACAGTAAGGCACCTCCCTGATTCAGAGGGGTTGGGTTAAATGCAGAAGACACATTTCGGTTGAATGGATTCAGTTGTGCAGCTGACTAGGTTTCCCCTTTCCCTATGTAGCACAATATGGAATGTTAATGTGTATGTTGACCTCTAGAGGGGGCTGATGTCTGTGGATTTACAGTAGCTGAAATGTAGCCTGGAAAATCCACACTGAATTCAGTTCCACTACTGTTTCATGTTTTTCACAAAATTAATTATGAATTCAGTTTTGATTCCCAGGCTAGTTGAAGCTAAGGTTGTAGTCCAAAATATGATGTATTCATGTTTTTATTTCTGGATGCCCAAACATGCCTGTGCATTTGCTCCTGGAATTAACATGATAGTTCTGGATGTGAACATTATTCTTTCACTAACAATGATGTGAAAACATGAAGCTGGAGAGTAATTTAATAACTTTTGCTCCAGAAACCTGATCAGAAAATGTTTGTTTAAAAATGAGTTGATGAAGTCCCATGGTCATCTATCTACAGTATAGTCAGCCATGATAAAGTCTCAATGGTCATCTATCTACAGTCAGCCATGATGAAGTCTCCATGGTCATCTATCTACAGTCAGCCATGATGAAGTCTCCATGGTCATCTATCTACAGTCAGCCATGATGAAGTCTCAATGGTCATTTATCTATAGTCAGCCATGATGAAGTCTACATGGTCATCTATCTATAGTCAGCCATGATACATGATGAAGTCTCCATGGTCATATATCTACAGTCAGCCATGATGAAGTCTCTTTAATGGTCATCTATCTACAGTCAGCCATGATGAAGTCTCTTTTATGGTCATCTATCTACAGTCAGCCATGATACATGATGAAGTCTCCATGGTCATCTATCTACAGTCAGCCATGATGAAGTCTCCATGGTCATCTATCTATAGTCAGCCATGATGAAGTCTCCATGGTCATCTATCTACAGTTAGCCATGATGAAGTCTCCATGGTCATCTATCTACAGTCAGCCATAATGAAGTCTCCATGGTCATCTATCTACAGTCAGCCATAATGAAGTCCCCATGGTCATCTATCTACAGTCAGCCATGATGAAGTCCCCATGGTCATCTATCTACAGTCAGCCATAATGAAGTCTCCATGGTCATCTATCTACAGTCAACCATAATGAAGTCTCCATGGTCATCTATCTACAGTCAACCATAATGAAGTCTCCATGGTCATCTATCTACAGTCAGCCATGATACATGTAAAAGTACATTCTTACAGCTACAGCTCTGGCTATTAATTAAGTGTACTGTACACCATGTTATGACCTTCGCTGTGCTTTACCTCTTTTGACTAGCTTATATTCTCCATCAGAGAGAGAGAGAGAGAGAGAGAGGGAGGGGGGAGACAAGAGAAAGATAGAAAGAGAGAGGGGTTGGTGAGAGAGGAGAGAGAGAGAGAGGAGAGAGAGAGAGAGCGAGAGAGAGAGAGAGAGAGAGAGAGAGAGAGAGACAAAGAGAGAGACAAAGAGAGAGGGGTGGAGACAAGAGAAAGATAGAGGTTGTGGAGAGAGAGGAGGAAGGAGAGAGAGAGAGAGGAGAGAGAGGGGGGGCGGGAGGGAGACAAGAAGGAGCGAAAGAGAGGGGGTGGAGAGAGAGGCTCTGGTCTCCATTAATGGTCAACCCCTTCATTAGTCTTCCATTAGTCCACCTCCCTTCCTCTTACCTCATCTGATGGTCAGCCGAACTCCACTGTTGTCATGGTGACTGGGTTGCCTTCCTCTCCCTGGTCAGGTCATTAAGCTGCTGGATGGGAAGCGTTCCCAGGCCGTAGGGATACTCATCTCTAGTCTGCACCTGGAGATGAATGACATACTGCAAGGTGAGTGGCATACAGCAGTGGGACCCCCAGCCGTTCCATGTATTTGATTTATTCCAGAACTAGCACAACTGATTCAATTTGTCAACTTATTATCAAGCCCTTGATTAGGTGAATCAGGAGAGCTTATTCAGGGCTACAACAACATTGTGAGATGTCTGGGGTCCCCGAGGTGAGGTTTGAAAACCCCTGACATGTACTGTGCATCTAAAATAATCTCTGAGAAGAAGGGTGCATACTCTCTCTTCTCTCTTTTTTTTAAACGGAATCTAGACATTCAACAGAGGCTTTTATCCAAAGCTATTACATAAATAGTAGCTAAATGCCTATGTGGCGCATGTAGGACCAGAACCCACAACTTAATCTAAGATGGCACAATTAACAGTTTACACATCCAGTATATTCAATATGTGTGGTCCGTGTAGGACTCAAACCCACAACTCAAGCACTAGTCTATGTTCCAACCAAGTGAGTCATCTGAACCACAACTAAAAGTCTGACTCTGGACCCCTCTACCCTGTATTTGACTTCAAACAGACAGACAGACAGACAGACAGACAGACAGACAGACAGACAGACAGACAGACAGACAGACAGGGCCTAACTCCAACCACCACCAAATCTCCATTCAGCTGTACTGTCATATCTGATCTAGTCAGACCAAATGGAACATCAGGATATACACTGCTCAAAAAAATAAAGGGAACACTTAAACAACACAATATAACTCCAAGTCAATCACACTTCTGTGAAATCAAACTGTCCACTTAGGAAGCAACACTGATTGACAATACATTTCACATGCTGGAAATTATAGGCAATTAGCAAGACACCCCCAATAAAGGACTGGTTTTGCAGGTGGTGACCACAGACCACTTCTCAGTTCCTATGCTTCCTGGCTGATGTTTTGGTCACTTTTGAATGCTGGCGGTGCTTTCACTCTAGTGGTAGCATGAGACGGAGTCTACAACCCACACAAGTGGCTCAGGTAGTGCAGCTCATCCAGGATGGCACATCAATGCGAGCTGTGGCAAGAAGGTTTGCTGTGTCTGTCAGCGTAGTGTCCAGAGCATGGAGGCGCTACCAGGAGACAGGCCAGTACATCAGGAGACGTGGAGGGGGCCGTAGGAGGGCAACAACCCAGCAGCAGGCCTGCTACCTCCACCTTTGTGCAAGGAGGAGCAGGAGGAGCACTGCCAGAGCCCTGCAAAATGACCTCCAGCAGGCCACAAATGTGCATGTGTCTGCTCAGACGGTCAGAAACAGACTCCATGAGGGTGGTATGAGGGCCCGACGTCCACAGGTGGGGGTTGTGCTTACAGCCCAACACCATGCAGGACGTTTGGCATTTGCCAGAGAACACCAAGATTGGCAAATTCGCCACTGGCGCCCTGTGCTCTTCACAGATGAAAGCAGGTTCACACTGAGCACATGTGACAGACGTGACAGAGTCTGGAGATGCCGTGGAGAACGTTCTGCTGCCTGCAACATCCTCCAGCATGACCGGTTTGGCGGTGGGTCAGTCATGGTGTGGGGTGGCATTTCTTTGGGAGGCCGCACAGCCCTCCATGTGCTCGCCAGAGGTAGCCTGACTGCCATTAGGTACCGAGATGAGATCCTCAGACCCCTTGTGAGACCATATGCTGGTGCGGTTGGCCCTGGGTTCCTCCTAATGCAAGACAATGCTAGACCTCATGTGGCTGGAGTGTGTCAGCAGTTCCTGCAAGAAGAAGGCATTGATGCTATGGACTGGCCCGCCCGTTCCCCAGACCTGAATCCAATTGAGCACATCTGGGACATCATGTTTCGCTCCATCCACCAACGCCATGTTGCACCACAGACTGTCCAGGAGTTGGCAGATGCTTTATTCCAGGTCTGGGAGGAGATCCCTCAGGAGACCATCCGCCACCTCATCAGGAGCATGCCCAGGCGTTGTAGGGAGGTCATACAGGCACGTGGAGGCCACACACACTACTGAGCCTCATTTTGACTTGTTTTAAGGACAACAAAGTTGGATCAGCCTGTAGTGTGGTTTTCCACTTTAATTTTCATCCAAATCCAGACCTCCATGGGTTGATAAATTTGATTTCCATTGATAATTCTTGTGTGATTTTGTTGTCAGCACATTCAACTATGTAAAGAAAAAAGTATTTAATAAGATTATTTCATTCATTCAGATCTAGGATGTGTTATTTTAGTGTTCCCTTAATTTCTTTGAGCAGTGTATGATCAGTATTAGACAAAAGGAACATCAGGATATATGATCAGTATTAGACAAAAGGAACATCAGGATATATGATCAGTATTAGACAACAGGAACATCAGGATATATGATCAGTATTAGACAAAAGGAACAGGATATATGATCAGTATTAGACAAAAGGAACATCAGGATATATGATCAGTATTAGACAACAGGAACATCAGGATATATGATCAGTAATAGACAAAAGGAACAGGATATATGATCAGTATTAGACAAAAGGAACATCAGGATATATGATCAGTATTAGAAACATGGAACATCAGGATATATGATCAGTATTAGAAAAATGGAACATCAGGATATATGATCAGTATTAGACAAAAGGAACATCAGGATATATGATCAGTATTAGACAAAAGGAACATCAGGATATATGATCAGTATTAGACAAAAGGAACATCAGAATATATGATCAGTATTAGACAAATGCAACATCAGGATATATGATCAGTATTAGACAAAGGGAACATCAGGATATATGATCAGTATTAGACAAAATGAACATCAGGATTTATGATCAGTATTAAACAGATGGAACAGCAGGATATATGATCAGTATTAGAGAAATGGAACGTCAGGATATAAGATCAGTAGTAGACAAAAGGAACATCAGGATATATGATCAGTATTAGAAAAATGGAACATCAGGATATATGATCAGTATTGGACAAAAGGAACATCAGGATATATGATCAGTAGTAGACAAAAGGAACATCAGGATATATGATCAGTATTAGACAAAGGAACATCAGGATATATGATCAGCAGTAGACAAAAGGAACATCAGGATATATGATCAGTATTAGACAAAGGAAAATCAGGATATATGATCAGTATAAGACAAAAGGAACATCAGGATATATGATCAGTATTAGAAAAATGGAACATCAGGATACATGATCAGTATTAGACAAAAGGAACATCAGGATATATGATCAGTATTAGAAAAATGGAACATCAGGATATATGATCAGTATTAGACAAAAGGAACATCAGGATATATGATCAGTATTAGACAAAAGGAACATCAGGATTTATTATCAGTATTAAACAGATGGAACATCAGGATATATGATCAGTATTAGAGAAATGGAACGTCAGGATATAAGATCAGTAGTAGACAAAAGGAACATCAGGATATATGATCAGTATTAGAAAAATGGAACATCAGGATATATGATCAGTATTGGACAAAAGGAACATCAGGATATATGATCAGTAGTAGACAAAAGGAACATCAGGATATATGATCAGTATTAGACAAAGGAACATCAGGATATATGATCAGCAGTAGACAAAATGAACATCAGGATATATGATCAGTATTAGACAAAGGAACATCAGGATATATGATCAGTATAAGACAAAAGGAACATCAGGATATATGATCAGTATTAGAAAAATGGAACATCAGGATACATGATCAGTATTAGACAAAAGGAACATCAGGATATATGATCAGTATTAGAAAAATTGAACATCAGGATATATGATCAGTATTAGACAAAAGGAACATTAGGATATATGATCAGTATTAGACAAAAGGAACATCAGGATATATGATCAGTATTAGACAAAAGGAACATCAGGATATGTAATCAGTATTAGACAAAGGAACATCAGGATATATGATCAGTATTAGACAAAGGGAACATCAGGATATATGTTCAGTATTAGACAATAGGAACATCAGGATATATGATCAGTATTAGAAAAATTGAACATTAGGATATATGATCAGTATTAGACAAAGGGAACATCAGGATATATGTTCAGTATTAGACAATAGGAACATCAGGATATATGATCAGTATTAGAAAAATTGAACATTAGGATATATGATCAGTATTAGACAAAAGGAACATCAGGATATATGATCAGTATTAGACAAATGGAACATCAGGATTTATGATCAGTATTAGACAAATGCAACATCAGGATATATGATCAGTATTAAACAGATGGAACAGCAGGATATATGATCAGTATTAGAAAAAAGGACTCAGCAGAAAACATCCCACAATGACAGGCTAAGGCTTCATTCCAAATGGCACCCTATTCCCTATATAGTGCGCTGCGTTTGACCAGGGCCCAGCAGTTCATTACATAGGGAATAGGGTGCCATTTGGGACACATTCTGAGAATTACCATTTGAACTGGGAAAGACAGTACCTTCAGGGGAAGGAATCTACACTGTGGATCTCTTTGGTTTCTGTGGCAGGGAGCAGTTAGTTTCCCAGAAGTGGAGATTTTTAGATTTGTTGGCTGTGTGTGTGTGTGTGTGTGTGTGTGTGTGTGTGTGTGTGTGTGTGTGTGTGTGTGTGTGCGTGCGTGCGTATATCTGGCCCTTACACACCTCTCACCAGCACAACACTGATCATGTGGAGACAGACTTTGTTTTTTGGGAATCGTGTAGGAGAGTTGGCTTGGGTTATTTTGTGTGATTATGGGAAAAATCTCACACTCACGCCTACAGTTTCCCGCCAGTCATAGAAATACCCTTATGTGACCCCACATGTTTGTAAAGATGCAATTCACTGTATCCATGCACTACCTTCACTCATGACTCAATGAACCTGTTTACTCCTGTAGCTGTGCTGACGGTGGACAACTCTGTAGTGGACCTGGAAACAATCCAGGCTTTACACGACAACGTGAGTATCACTCCTTTCTTGTATTGTCCTTTTTGCATTTTGAGCTCTCTTCAGTTTGCAGTTTTAAGTGTTGTTTGATGCCCCTACCAGAGAGCCCAGCCTGATGAGCTGGAGAGGATAAAGAAACACTACCAGACTTCAGAGGAGGAGCAGGTCAAGCTGCTGGACAAACCTGAACAGTGAGTGTTCTCCTTCCCCTTCTTTTCACCTTGTTAACTTTCTGTGGAGGAATTGTGAGTAGCTCCACCTCAAGGCACCATCTCCAACTCAAGGCACCATCTCCACGTCAAGGCACCATCTCCACCTCAAGGCACCATCTCCACCTCAAGGCACCATCTCCAACTCAAGGCACCATCTCCACGTCAAGGCACCATCTCCACGTCAAGGCACCATCTCCACCTCAAGGCACCATCTCCACGTCAAGGCACCATCTCCACCTCAAGGCACCATCTCCACCTCAAGGCACCATCTCCACCTCAAGGTACCATCTCCATGTCAAGGCACCATCTCCACCTCAAGGCACCATTTCCCCGTCAAGGCACCATCTCCACCTCAAGGCACCATCTCCACCTCAAGGCACCATCTCCACCTCAAGGTACCATCTCCCCATCAAGGCACCATCTCCCCGTCAAGGTACCATCTCCACCTCAAGGCACCATCTCCACCTCAAGGTACCATCTCCCCATCAAGGCACCATCTCCCCGTCAAGGCACCATCTCCACCTCAAGGCACCATCTCCACCTCAAGGTACCATCTCCATGTCAAGGCACCATCTCCCCGTCAAGGCACCATCTCCACCTCAAGGCACCATCTCCACCTCAAGGTACCATCTCCCCATCAAGGCACCATCTCCCCGTCAAGGCACCATCTCCACCTCAAGGCACCATCTCCACCTCAAGGCACCATCTCCACGTCAAGGCACCATCTCCACCTCAAGGCACCATCTCCACCTCAAGGCACCATCTCCACCTCAAGGTACCATCTCCCCATCAAGGCACCATCTCCCCGTCAAGGCACCATCTCCACCTCAAGGCACCATCTCCACCTCAAGGCACCATCTCCACCTCAAGGCACCATCTCCACCTCAAGGCACAATCTCCCCATCAAGGCACCATCTCCACCTCAAGGCACCATCTCCACCTCAAGGCACCAGCTTTTATGGTATACATTGGTTGGAACTCTAATAGGACTGTGACGGAATCATGGAATTTTGGATGATGGTTATTGGCCAGCCAAATTACCACAGTCACTGTAATAACGATAGGATAGCATAAATCTAAAAAAAAGAATACACATTTTAAATATATATATATATATTTTTAAGACACACATTTTATCCTCTCCTCCGCTCCTGACATACAGTAATGGGTGGATTTGTGTTCATTGACTACAGCTCAGCGTTCAACACCATAGTGCCCTTCACACTCATTACTAAGCTAAGGACCCTGGGCCTGATCCCCTTCCCTCTGCAACTGGATCCTGGACTTCCTGACGGGCCACCCCCAGGTGGTGAGGTAGGAAACAACACATCTGCCACGCTGACCCTCAACACGGGGGCCCCTCAGGGGTGCGTGCTTAGTCCCCTCCTGTACTCCCTGTTCACCCACGACTGCATGGCCGTGCACGACTCCAACACCATCATTAAGTTTGCAGACGACACGACGGTGGTAGGCATGATCACCGACAACGATGAGACAGCCTACAGGGAGCAGGTCAGAGACCTGGCAGTGTGGTGCCAGGACAACAACCTCTCCCTCAACATCAGCAAGACAAAAGAGCTGACCGTGGACTACAGGAAATGGAGGGCAGAGCATGCCCCCATCCACATCAATGTAGTGGAGCAGGTTGAGAGCTTCAAGTGTCCACATCACTAAGGAATTATCATGGTCCACACACACCAACACAGTTGTGAAGAGGGCACGACAACGCCTCAGGAGGCTTAAAAGGTTTGGCATGGGCCCTCAGATCCTCAAAAAGTTATACAGCTGCACCATTGAGAGCATCTTGACTGGCTGCATCACCGCTTGGTATGGCAACTGCTTGACATCTGACCGTAAGGCACTTAAGAGGGTAGTGCATACGGCCCAGTACATCACTGGGGCCAAGCTTCCTGCCATCCAGGACCTCTATACCAGGCGGTGTCAGAGGAAGGCCCTAAAAATTGTCAAAGACTCCAGCCACCCAAGTCATAGACTGTTCTCTCTGCTACCGCACGGCAAGCGGTACCGATGCACCAAGTCTGGAACCAACAGGACCCTGAACAGCTTCTACCAAGCCATAAGACTGCTAAATAGTTAGTTACAGTGCATTCTGAAAGTATCTTTCCACATTTTGTTACGTTACAGCCTCATTCTAAAATGGATGAAAATGTGTTTTTTTCCTCATCAATCTACACACAATATCCCATAATGACAAAGCAAAAACAGGTTTTTAGAAGTGTTTGCTAATTTATAATTTTAAAAAACTTTAAAAAGTTTGGGGTCATTTAGAATTTTCCTTGTTTTCCATGAACACATACATGAAATGAGTTTGAATAGGAAATATAGCAAAATGAATAGGAAATGTAGTCATTGACAAGGTTAGAAATCATAATTTTTAATTGAAATAATAATTGTGTCCTTCAAACGTTGCTTTCGTCAAAGAATCCTCCATTTGCAGCAATTACAGCCTTGCAGACCTTTGGCATTCTAGTTGTCAATTTGTTGCGGTAATCTGAAGCTTCCAAGCTTCCTGAAGCACCTCCCACAGTTGGATTGGCTTGATGGGCACTTCTTACGGTCAAGATGCTCCTACAACAGCTCATTAGGGTTGAGATCCGGTGACTGTGCTGGCCACTCCATTATAGACAGAATACCAGCTGAATGCTTCTTCCCTAAATAGTTATTGTATAGTTTGGAGCTGTGCTTTGGGTCATTGTCCTGTTGTAGGAGGAAATTGGTTCCAATCAAGCGCCGTCCACAGGGTATGGCATGGCGTTGCAAAATGGAGTGATAGCCTTCCTTCTTCAATATCCCTTTTACCCTGTACAAATCTCCCACTTTACCACCACCAAAGCACCCCCAGACCATCACATTGCCTCCACCACGCTTGACAGATGGCATCAAACACTCCTCCAGCATCTTTTCATTTGGTCTGCGTCTCACAAATGTTCTTCTTTGTGATCCGAACACAAACTTCGATTAGTCTGTCCATAACACTTTTTTCCAATCTTCCTCTGTCCAGTGTCTGTGTTCTTTTGCCCATCTTAATCTTTTATTTTTATTGGCCAGTCTGAGATATGGCTTTTTCTTTGCAACTCTGCCTAGAAGGTCAGCATCCCGGAGTCACCTCTTCACTGTTGACGTTGAGACTGGTGTTTTGCGGGTACTATTTCATGAAGCTGCCAGTTGAGGACCTGTGAGGCGTCTGTTTCTCAAACTAGACACTCTAATGTATTTGTCCTCTTGCTCAGTTGTGCACCGGGGCCTCCCACTCCTCTTTCTATTCTGGTTAGAGCCAGTTTGCGCTGTTCTGTGAAGGGAGTAGTACACAGAGTTGTACGAGATCTTCAGTTTCTTGGCAATTTCTCTCATGGAATAGCCTTAATTTCTCAGAACAAGAATAGACTGACGAGTTTCAGAAGAAAGTTATTTGTTTCTGGCCATTTTGAGCCTGTTATCAAACCCACAATTGCTGATGCTCCATATACTCAACTAGTCTCAAGAAGGCCAGTTTTATTGCTTCTTTAATCAGCACAACAGTTTTCAGCTGTGCTAACATAATTGCAAAAGGGTTTTCTAATGATCAATTAGCCTTTTAAAATTATAAACTTGGAGCAGCAAACACAACGTGCCATTGGAACACAGGACTGATGGTTGCTGATAATGGGCCTCTGAACACCTATGTAGATATTCCATTTAAAATCATTTCCAGCTACAATAGCCATTTACTGATAGCCACACTGATCAATTTGATGTTATTTTAATGGACAAAGAAATTGCTTTTCTGTAGAAAACAAGGACATTTCTAAGTGACCCCAAACTTTTGAACGGTAGTGTAACTATTCAGACCCTTTACTCAATACTTTGTTGAAGCACCTTTGGCAGCGATTACAGCCTCGATTCCACTTGGGTATGACGCTACAAGCTTGGAACACCTGTATTTGGGGAGTTTCTCCCATTGTTCTCTGCAGATCCTCTCAAGCTCTGTCAGGTTGGATGGGGAGCGTCGCTGCACAGCTATTTTCATGTCTCTCCAGAGATGTTCGATCGGGTTCAAGTCTGGGCTCTGCCTGGGCCACTCAAGGACATTCAGAGACTTGTCCCGAAGCCACTCCTGCATTGTCTTGGCTGTGTGCTTAGGGTCGTTGTCCTGTTGGAAGGTGAACCGTCGCCCCAGTCTGAGGTCCTGAGCGCTCCTGAGCAGGATTTCATCAAGGATCTCTCTGTACTTTGCTCCTTTCATCTTTCCCTCGATCCTGACTAGTCTCCCAGTCCCTGCCGCTGAAAAACATCCCCACAGCATGATGCTGCCACCACCATGCTTCACCGTAGGGATGGTGCCAGGTTTCCTCCAGACGTGACGCTTGGCATTCAGGTCAAAGAGTTCAATCTTGGTTTCATCAGACCAGATCATCTTGTTTCTCATTGTCTGAGAGTCATTTAGGTGCCTTTTGTCAAACTCCAAGTGGGCTGCCAGGTGCCTTTTACTGAGGAATGGCTTCTGTCTGGCCACTCTACCATAAAGGCCTGATTGGTGGAGTGCTGCAGAGATGGTTATACATCTGGAAGGTTCTCCCATCTCCACAGAGGAACTCTGGAGCTCTGTCAGAGTAACCATCGGGTTCTTGGTCACCTCCCTGACCAAGGCCCTTCTCCGCCGATTGCTCAGTTTGGCCGGGCGGCCAGCTCTAGGAAGAGTCTTGGTGGTTCCAAACTTCTTCCATTTAAGAATGCTGGAGGCCACTGTGTTCTTGGGGACCTTCAATGCCGCAGGAATTATTTGGTACCCTTCCCCAGATCTGTGCCTCGATATAATCCTGTCTCGGATCTCTACGGACAATTCCTTCGACCTCATGGCTTGGTTTTTGCTCTGACGTGCACTGTCAACTGTGGGACCTTATATAGACATGTGTGTGCATTTCCAAATCATGTCCAATCAATTGAATTTACCAAAGGTGGACTCCAATCAAGTTGTAAAAACATCTCAAGGATGATCAATGGAAACAGGATGCACCTGAGCTCAATTTCGCGTCTCATAGCAAAGGATCTGAATACTTATGTAAATAAGTTAGTTCTGGTTTTGGCGTTTTTAAATGTGCAAAAATTTCAAAAAAACTGTTTTTACTTTGTCATAATGGGGTATTTTGTGTTGATTGATGAGGAAAAAAATTAATTTAATCCATTTTAGAATAAGGCTGTGACGTAACAAAATGTGGAAAAAGGGAAGGGGTCTGAATACTTTCAGAATGTACTGTGAATGGTTAACCAATAGCTACCCGGACTACTTGCATTGACCCTTTTTGCACTAACTCTTTTGACTCATCACATACGCTGCTGTTACTGTTTATCATCTATCCTGTTGCCTAGTAACTTTATTGTGTATTTATTCCTCATGTTATTATTTTTCTATTATTTCTATTATTTTCTCTCTGCATTGTTGGAAAGTGCCCGTAACGAAGCATTTCACTGTTAGTCTACACCTGTTGTTTACGAAGCATGTGACAAATAACATTTGATTTGATTGCGAGTGTAACCATAGGAGCAAAGCAGGAAGTAAGAGCAGGAAGTGTACCAATCAATATGTGCTGTGATTTGTTGGTTCAACTCAACTGACATCACAAAATATATATTTCATTGCATGAGCCAAACCAGTTAGCATCTTTTGAATGAAAATTCTACTTTACCATGACAACGGTTGCATCACAGTACCAGGCATGATAGGTGGCACAAGGGTTCACCAAACAAATTCACCTTTATAATAAAGCATTCCATGCATCCTCGCATTTGCAGACTTACTGTATGTAAGAGACACCACGTGATCAAAAGTATGTGGACACCTGCTCGTCAAACATCTCATTCTAAACTCATGGGCGTTAATATGGAGTTGGTCCCCCCTTTGCTGCTATAACAGCCTCCACTCTTCAGGGAAGGCTTTCCATTGGACTTGCTTCCATTCAGCCACAAGAGCATTAGTGAGGTCGGGCACTGATGTTGGGCGATTAGGCCTGGCTCACAGTCTGTGTTCCAATTAATCCTAAAGGCATTCGATGGGGTTGTGGTCAGGACTCTTTGCAGGCCAGTCAAGTTCTTCCACACCGATCTCGACAAACCATTTCCGTATGGACCTCACTTTGTGCACGGGGGCATTGTCATGCTGAAACAGGAAAGGGCCTTCCTCAAACTGTTGCCACAATGTTGGAAGCACAGAATTTTCTAGAATGTCATTGTATGCTGTAGCGATTTCCCTTCACTGGAACTAAGGGGCCTAGCCCGAACCTTGAAAAACAGCCCCAGACCATTATTCCTCCTCCACCAAACTTTACAATTGGCTCTATGCATTCGGGCAGGTAGCGTTCTCCTGTCGTCCGCCAAACCCAGATTCGTCCGTCGGACTGCCAGATGGTGAAGCGTGATTCATCACTCCAGAGAACGCGTTTCCACTGCTCCAGAGTCCAATGGCCGCGAGCTTTACACCACTCCAGCCGACGCTTGGCATTGCGCATGGTGATCTTAGGCTTGTGTGCGGCTGCTCGGCCATGGAAACCCATTTCATGAAGCTCCCGACGAACAGTTCTTGTGCTGACGTTGCTTCCAGAGGCAGTTTGGAACTCAGTAGTCATTGTTGCAACCGAGGACAGACGATTTTTACGCGCTACGCGCTTCAGCACTCTGCGGTCCCATTCTGTGAGCTTGTGTTGCCACTTCACAATAACAGCACTTACAGTTGACCGGGACAGCTCTAGCATGGCAATTTATTGGTAAGGTGGCATCCTATAACGATGCCACGTAGAAAGTCAATGAGTTCTTCAGTTAAGCCATTCTACTGACAACGTTTGTCTATGGAGATTGCATGGCGGTGTGCTCAATTTTATTCACCTGTCAGCAACGGGTGTGGCTGAAATAGCCGTATCCACTAATTTGAAGGTGTTTCCACATACTTTTGTATATACAGTGTAGCTTACTATTACTAATGTGATGAATAGATTGGATAGTCATAATTTAGGCTAACAATATAACTCTGTTCAATGCAGCACGTTGTGGCGTAGAGTAGTCTCAGCCTATCAGACTTTCTTCTCCTTTCTTTGCATGGGAAAAATTTGGCCTTTTATAAACACATTTCATGCAATTCTACTGCACTTGATATGACTGGAGACATTAGCAAGAATCATTTTTAATATGCCAAAAATGACCATGGGTAGCCTACTCTGCTGACGTTGACAAACAGATCAATAAAAACAACGTTGTCTGATCCATATAATCGGCCTACTTGAAGGGACGACACAAATACAACATGACGTCCATCTAACCTGGAGGAGGACATTATTATCCAAAAACAAACTTTCAAGTGGCACTGACCCAACGATAAAGACAGTAAATATGCACTCACCGGGGATATGGCCGATGTTCTCTGCTTATGCAATTAAGATAGGCTACACTGTTCACTCAATTAAATTGAGAATTTTAATAACTAAAAGACAGAATAGTATTTTCATTGTCTTCTCTTTACAGCAGAAGCCATTTGCTTTCCAAACTATTTTTTCCCGCAATTGTATTTAGAAATATTGCCTGGCTGGGCCTCTCTACTTTTCACTGACAGTCGCAACTCAACAATCATCTATTTGGTATCTGCAGCGCAAGCTGCCCAAGTTGCGGCCCTTCCGACTGTAGACAATGCGATTTAAAACAATCCACAGCCTTTTAAATAAAATAAGCTAATGATCCTCTGTGGCCAAATCATGCTTTCTGGTATAGTAGCCTATTTTGAAACATTATATTTATTTCTGCATAGGCTAATTAGGCTCGATAATTTTGGCAAATGTAATTCAATTTACTTTAGGGGAAGCTTAGCTTAAAGCTTAAATGGCTATGACTGTTATTTTATTTTCAGGACGGTCTTCATCCATAACCGTCAGTTATACGGTAATTATTCCAGCCCTAAACTCTAATGTAGGAAAATGACAAAGATGGTAGTAGCATCAAAGTAACTTCCATCATGTCTTCTTCCTGTCACCTGTGTTGTCTCTAGGTTCCTGTATGAGTTATCTCAGATACCAGACTTCCCAGGCAGAGCTTCAAGTATCATCTTCCAGTCTGTCTTCATAGACAGCATCGCCTCCATACAGTGCAAGTTGGACATCGTCTCTCGCATCTGCAAGGTAGTTGCAAGATAATAATGAATATTAAGAAATTCAGATTTCTACCAGATGAATTGAGGAGCTTGCTGTGTTCGTTTAAAGGACATTCAAGCCTATGTGTCAGGCCTAAATT